TGATAATTTTTTTTGGATCCATTTTTGGATTTCCTTCCAAAAGTTCATGATTACTTTCACTATTTCCATAAGTTTACTGTAATCAAAGCTTTGGAATTTTTTGCAGATAGTACCTAAATTGCCAGTAGTTGATTTTTTCACGGAGTTTCTAATAATTTGCTGAAACTTTTCTGGTAAGAACTATTCAAAAATAGCTTTGGTAAGCTTGACAGTGACGCCATGGACGGCTCCTTTTTCTGAAAATTACATTTTCATTTTTTTTCCATTAATTTTGGAGATCAGTTTTCCAAATAGAAGACAAAAAGCTGCACGGAGATCAAGAAAAGAACTAAAATAAACTGTCGGGGTCAAGTTGGAAAAGCTTCCCATGGCACATGTGGCCGGCCGGACAAAAGAAACGCGACGGTTTTTGTCTTTTTGGGACGACATCTGCGCGCCAAAGTAAACTTTACAACAGAAGTCGTGCTTACTCGGACCTTGGTAACGCGAATCGGACGTGTCGGGGAGTTTTTAGTAGCCACTTTAGAAGCCTCAGAACTCTTAAGTGATCCCTAGAATCGGCCAGTTTTGCGTTGCCAATGTCCGAGTAGGAAAGTGTCCTTTCTGGTGGAAATTGTAAAGATTTTTCCTCTCCAACTTGATCTCGATGTCTTTTTTCGTTATAAGGAAAGAAAAGCTTCTGTAAAGCTTTGCTAGGCTTTTTTCCTACCAGTAAACGTAGTAGTTGATCAAAACTAATATTAGGGGGGTCAGTGGTCGAAATGTAGGCGATTTTATTTGAGATTGGGGTTTTCCTGAAAATTGGCCAGAACGTTTCTTGATCTACCAGAGGACGGTTCTGAAAAAATGTCACCTCAAAGAATTCTTCAACAAGTTTTTTTTGTGGTTTTGAGCCCTATTTCTCAAAAAATAGGAAGTTTTTTTTTGATTTTCAGAACTTTCTTCTGGTACTTTAGGTAGAAAAAAAAGCCCCGTGTTCAGAATTGGGTAATATAAGGTTTTTTATCGTGGTCAGAGGGCCGTCTTTCATAGAGAACTATCCAATACCCTGAAGAACACATAGGGTTCTCGAAATATCGATTTTATATCAGTTTTGTCACTTGGAACTTCAAAAATTCATATCTCGGCTCAAAATGCTCAGAGTTTGAAAATGTCAAGTTTTTATCGTGTTCAGGAAGTATTTTTTTTCATAAAAAACCATCCAATACGAAAAATCGTTTTTTTTCCTCATGGTCAATTGGTCATTTGATACTTCAAAAAAATGCAAATCTCAGCTCAAAATGCTCAGAAATTGGTAATGTGAAGTTTTTTGATTGTGTTCAGAAAGTTTTTTTCATAAAAAAAAATCATTCAATACACTAAGAACTCATAGGGTTCTCGGAAAGTCGATATTTCCTTATTTTAGGTCAGTTTTGTCGCTTGAAACTTCAAAAATTCATATCTCGGCTCGAAACGTTTAGAATTCGAAAATGTCAAGTTTTTTATCTTGGTCAGAGGGCCGTCTTTCATAGAGAACTATCCAATACCCTGAAATACCAATTTTTCCTAATTTCGGATCAGTTTTGTCACTTGAAACTTCAAAAATTCATATCCCGGATCAAAATGCTCACTAGGAAACGTTTTTTTTTAATGAAACTCGATGAAACTTTGTTAAAATGCTCTTGAAAACCTCCTGATTGCAGAACAAGAGAAAAATTCTCGCAATAGATCTCGTTTTCGAGTTAGGAAACTTCAAAACCTTGAAAAAGAACTTCTTTGTCATAACTTGTGTATTTTGCGGACTTTGAAGCTTCATAACTTGAAAAAAAGGGTTCAGGGGAATTTTATCAAAAATTTCAACAGGAGGGGGTCCCATTGTTGGAATCAGGTAAAGTTCAGCATACACAAGGCCTCCAATCAGATCGTTTCTTCAGTTAACCGCGAGGGAGGTAAATGCAACACGAAAGAGCAAATGCCCTCTAAGTTTTTCAAGAACATCTGCTCGCCGACCAGATTAATGATAGCCAGAGTTTGCCGCCGTTACACCACAATGGCCCCCATCAATCGCTGATTCGATTTTTCTCAAAGATTGCCTCTTAATTACCTCTTTTCATATTTTAATGCTTTTTATCCCTACGAGGAAGGGGGTTTTGGTTTACGATATTTTTGATTTTAGCCGCATTTTCCTTAAAATATCAGATTTAGGCCTCCTTGAAAAAGAAATTTCGGCCTAAATTAACGAATATTCAAGCAGTCTTTGAACATGTTGCTCTAAAAAAAAGCGACGACGATATTTTTTTTTTGGCTTTATAAGAATTTTTCGAAAGACATATTTTCCATTTTCCGACTTTTCTTGATTTGCCGTGCCACCTGAAATTGTGATTTCCTTGAAAATTGGTCACATTTTTCCATTAAACGATCAAAGTTAGACCTCTTTAAAGAAGGATTTTTGACCTGACTATACGAAATTTTTAAGTAATTATTGAAAATGATGCTATATTAAAGCGAAAAATAAAGTTATGAGCTTCCTAAGAACGTTTCAAAACATTTATTTCCCATTTTCCGACTCTCCATGATTTTTTTGTGTAGCCCAAAATTGTGGTTTTCTTGAAAATTAGTCGCATTTTCCATCAACCGATCAAAGTTAAGCTTCTTTGAAGTGAAATTTTTTTGACCTGACTGTATAAATTTTTTTAAGTAATCTTTGAAAATATCGTTCTATTAAAGTGAAAAAGAAGATATAAGCTTCCTAAGAACGTTTAAAAACATTTGTTTGTCATTTTGCGACTTTCCATCATTTTCCGTTCACAATAAGCTTTCAAAGAATTGATTCGAAGCTCAAAATGTAGCTTATCAGGAAAAGATAGTTAATTAACTTTTGGACTGGTTTTTTCTTTACAATCACCAGCTAGACCCCCTGATAAGCAGCACTATTTGATAAAATGATGGCTATTGAGGTCTTTTTTTTATCAAGTTTCTTTGAATGCCAGACTTTTTCATTGACTCTATGAAGCTTATTTGGTACCTTTAACCTCACTCTATTCATTGGTATCTTAATTGGAAGAATTGTTTCAGTTTTTTTAATTTTTTTATGATTTTTCGAAAAAAATTTGACAGTTGAAAAAAATCTTCAGTCATTTTACTTTGAGGGGGATATTCTGAAAATTGGCCAGAACACTTCTGGATGTACCGGAAAACGATACTAAAAGTCTCAACCTGCAAAACTTCTTAATTTTCAAAAAAAAGGACACCTCAAGTCGAAGAAAACCATCAAAATCCATCAAAAAGGCCCATTTTACGTTTTTGAGCCCTCATTTCTCGGAAACTAACAAGTTTTAAAGATTGAAACTTTCAGAATATTTTTTTGGTACATTAAAGAGTCTTATGGCACATTCCCAAACAATCCCCAAAGTAAAAGGACCACCTTGTGAGGACCAAATGTTCATGGGCTAATTTCTTGAAGGTCTCGAGGCGAAAGTTCATTTTTGACGATGATTTAAGCTCAACGTGAATTTTCAAGAATCATATAGAAATTGTTTGGGAAAAAAGTGAGTTTCCCAGATCCGAGGGGTCCATAAAAATGTTTCTTTTAGGGTGACAAATGCTCCTTTTTTGCTGCCTTTTTGCGCCATTTCATCGGCTATTATGCATCATTTTTCTGTCCATCCCTTTTTCCTACAATTTTTAAGCTTCTATAAAAGCCTAGAAAATGGGAAGGCTCAATAAAGGGACTAATTTCGCTGCCTTTTTGCGGCCTTTCTGCTGCCATTTTGCTGCCATTTTGCTGCCTTTTTGCGCCATTTCATCGGCTATTATGTACCATTTTTGATGCCTCACTCTTTTTTTCCATAAATTTTTAAGTCTTTAAAATACTAAAAAAAATATGAAAGGCTTAATAAAAGGACTCATTTTGCTGCCTTTTTGCCGCCTTTTTGCGGCCTTTCTCCTGCCATTTTACTGCCTTTTTGCTGCCATTTTGCTCCCATTTTGCTGCCTTTTTGCGCCATTTCATCGGCTATTATGTACCATTTTTTTGATGTCTCACTCTTTTTTTCCATAAATTTTTAAGTCTTTAAAATACTAAAAAAAAATATGAAAGGCTTAATAAAAGGACTCATTTTGCTGCCTTTTTGCCGCCTTTTTGCGGCCTTTCTCCTGCCATTTTACTGCCTTTTTGCTGCCATTTTGCTCCCATTTTGTTGCATTTTTGCTGCCTTTTTCGAACCTTTCCCTTTTGGCGGCCACTTTGCCCGAGCATATCGAAACGTTGTACAAAACCCCTTCAATTTTCTTTCCTGTGCAATCCAATAAATGTTAAAAAAAACATTTGCGGTCTTTTTTTCACCCGATTTTTATCTTTTTGCCTTTTTCCCCCTGCTTATAGCCCGTACAGTTGCTCTTTTTTAAATTCTTTAAGTTTTCTCTTCATTTTCCTCAGTTTTGCGAGTCAGTGGTTTCATATTTCCCTAGTTTTTAGCGATTTCCATAAATCTGTGTATCATATTTATCCATTCAGTTTTTTTAGGAGATTAAAAAAATTTTTGTTCTTTTTCATTTTTTTGGTTTCAGTTTAGTTAGTTCAAAACTTGTTTGATTGCTACTTTTTCAGTTTCTTTTTTTACTGGTACCAATTTTTTTGAAGAAAAAGTCTTTTTTTATATGGCCCAACTGTCGTTATTGAAAAATAATCAGAATATATTCATCCTGCTTTTTTTGAATTTTCTTCATTTCCCATTGACTCTTGTGAAAAATCAGAGTCATTTTTTGTTTTTAGGGTCCGTTTACAAGAAAGTAGTACATTTGTCTACTATGGTTTACCCAAAAACCGATCGTAAACGCCTCAAAATTGCTTTGCCATAATTTTTTCCTATGAACAGCTTTCTATAAGAGTTTCGGTTGTGAAAATTTTTCCAATTAAAATCACACCATTTACCATTTCTGGGTAAACATGGTGAATTCGAAATCAGTAATCGGAATTTTCAGAATCCTTCCTGGCGAATACTGAAAAAAAAGAAAAAAAAATGATGAGCTGCACGGATTTTTACGATATCTTCGACACCCTCGAATGGCTCCGTAACTTGAAAAGTACAGTTAACGACTTCAAAAATGAAGTATGTGCTTTTTTTCTTGCCATTTTTTAGATACATGAAAGAATAGCTCTGAGAAATAGCGGCCGTTTTTTCAAGCTTTTGAGAACGACTCATTTTCCGATGGCTATGTATTGCGAACTATTCTGTCATATATAGTCAATTTTTCCCGACTTGAAAGGCGAGGGAGGCGGGGCAAAGTGCGGGACGCGTAGCGTGTGCGTACGCGGTTCTTGGCGTCAGTTCAGTTCAATCGCAGTCGACAAATTAAAAAGCTCGACAATCGCTCTTTTTCTGTGGTTCCTACTATTTTTTGATGCACACTTGAACATAATTAATAAATAATTAAAAAAGAAGTTAAAAGAACGATAAGTGAGCTCTCTGACTGCTTGCTGGCGGTTGAAATGCACACGTGCCAAGAACGGCCTACGCACACGCTACGCGTCCCGCCCCTTGCCCCGCCTCCCTCCTCTTTCAAGTCGGGAAACATTGACGATACTTTAAAATTTTATAGTGCTTTCTATAGGGGTAAAGGCGAAAAACAGCCTATATCGAAAAAAGTGGTCCCGATATGGGTAAAATTAAGGTGGTTCCTATAGCGGTTTTTGTGTCTATTCGCTTGGTAGCATGCCTCTAAAGGGACCACTTTTGCAAGCCTTAGTGGCCCCTGGAGGGGTTTGTAAGGTAGTCCTTAGAAGGGGCCCTCTAATGGCTCTAAGGTTACCCTATAGGGACCACTTTGGAGTTTCAAAGTACAGTACGCGTATAAGGTCCCCCATACGTTAAGAGAGGGAGAATGTCTTGCCCCTATAGGGACCACTCTGGAACTCCGAAGGTATCTCAGTTTGAGGCTAGAGGGAAGGTGTTGAGAGAGGGCTGGTGAGGTCGTTGGTGCCATTTTTATAGGAGGCTAGGTGGAGGCGGAGTTTCTGTCCGCGGAATGGCCCCAGAGGTTGCCCCTTATAGAAACCCCCACGACACTTTTTAATGCTTTGTCTAAAGGGGGGTAGACGTTTCTATAGAGGTCCCTCATAGGGCCCCTATGAAACCCCCTATAGGAACCTCTCAAAAGTTTCTCAGCTCAACGATCGTACGCTTTTTTTTGAATAAACGAAGATTATGATTTACAGTACAAGGAAGTGGGGATCGCGCTCCGAATGTGCCCCCTCGAGAATAGGGTATGTTTCATCGAATGAGGTCATTTAAATATATATTTTTTTCAGAGAAAGAAGTCTTCTGAGAGAGTCAGCCAACAGATAAAAAAATTGACGAGCGTAAGTTCATTTTCTTCAGCTAGGGAGCGCAAACCCCTTCACGCCACCAAAATGACGATTTTTTTTTGTTGCAAAAACGGTTTTGAGGCGTTCGTACCACCTGAAGTTCCGCCTTGAAAATCCACTGTTTTGATGAACTGAAGGAGAAAAAATAACTTTTAATTGAATGAAATTTCGGGAGAGACGGTAGCGAGAACACGCGACGCATCGGGGTTAACCGCGTTGCGTTAGAAGGTACTCGCGTGGGCGCGATTTTTGAACGCCCATTTTTTTCGCCTGCTTTCACCTGTTTTTAAACACTGTGATACGTGTACTTTGAACGCGGCATGTGCGAGAGCGCCGCAGTGCATGCACACGACACACTAAACTTTACGAAGAAAATATGAGAAAGAGTCGTCAAAAAAACGCCGTGTTTAATTAAACCATTCCGTCCAAACTTCCTCAAATGATATTTATTATGGCGTGTTCATTCGAGAAACGGAACATGCTTCATCAAAACGAAAAATCGTATTCATTGGCGCGCCAAAGTTGCTTCAAAACAGTACTAATTTTTGTTTTGAAGCAATTTTTTTTTGCGTTTCGGAACAATTTTTGTTTTGTCCGATGAACACGCCATTATATTTGTAGGCCTAATTACTTGTTTCTTTCATCTTTTCGGAGTTAAAATCAACAATCTTGGCTTTCAGGGCTTGCTCATTTTTCACGTTCTAGAGAAATACGAGGAAGCCAAGAAAATCCTTGAAGCGTTCATTGCAACGGTTTGTGACAGTTTATCCGTGAAATAATCTTGAAGTCTCATTTACAGAGCGAGGAGAATGAAGTCATTTCCGATTTAAAGGTAACTTTCATTGAAAGAAAACGCTTGTAAAAATGACACATGTTTTTGAATAGGACATCGTTTCAAATAAAATGTCTTTTTGAAAAAAATATTTCATTGGTTACTTTAAATTTTTTTCTCCAGCTCCATTTAAACAACCGGTGGTGAGTCAATTATTAGATGAGGTATAGTAGTAATAAGTTTGAAACTATAGAAGTTTGTCAAAAGATTAAAGATAGTAAACAAGTGAGTTTCAGATGAAAGCCGCCGAAATTATGAGGACGATCGAAAATTTTTACACGATCTGGAGAGTAAGTTTATTACCAAGAAAAGAAAAAGAAATGGACGCTGCTTAAGAAATTATTTTCTGAAGGATCAATGAAGGATCTGCAGAGTGGTCCCTCTTAGGACAACCTGAGGGACCCTTGATGGGTCCCTTCTAGGAGCACTTTACCAAGCCCTAGAGGGGCTGCTGAAGCTTGCAAAGGTGGTCGTTATAGCGGTTTTGGTTAGTGGTCCCTATGGCTTTATTGAATAAACGTTTTTGGAATTGAAAGACCCCAAAAGGGACCACTAAAGCTTGCAAAAGTTAGTGGCCCTCTCGGGGACATGCTAGTCGATAATCGCTTTTTGAAATAGAAAGGGAGGGTCCGCCGAGTTGGTTAGTATGTTGCGAATCCAGAGACTGGAAAAAGTTCTGAAATCGATAATAGAAATCAGCTTTGAACTTTCAGAATAGCCCGAAGAGCGACCAAATCTTCGAAGAACTGGAGGTAAGTCTATTCCATTCGCTTTTCAATTCTAGTCGAATCAGGAACTTTTTTTTTCGACATTCACTGTGAAAAGTGAGTAGGTCTTTCAAAAATATCTAGAAAATGACTGCTTTTCCTTTAATACGGGAAGGGCAAAAGGTCGAGGTATTAGAATTCAATGAAAGCCGGTATGTAGGTACTTTTGGACATTTCGAATTCAAAGAAATTGGATAAAGTGCGCCTTTTTGTTTCTAGTCAAGTTCAATCAAATCAAATCATTTATTTTGTTGTTTTAGTCTGATGTAATCGACTAGGCGGTGAACAAGAACTTCAAAATCTATAACGAACAACCGCCTTTGGCGAGCTAGAAGTCCAAACGTGTAGTCGGAAGAGTTGAAAGCATGGTCTTACGGTCCTTCGCCTCGTCCTTCTGCGCGTAGTTCATCCAGTTGCGCCTTGACGAGCTCAAAATGTAGTGGATGGTGTAGCTGGAGCCCGTAGACCGTGCTCTAGGTGGAAGCCTCAGAATGAGAGCTACCACTTCGAGTGAAGATTTTACACGGAAAGTTATGGCGGCTTTTTTCAGAGAAATCTTTTTCGTGCAAAAGGAGAGGCTGCACAACCACAAAATTCAAATGGCAAAAATAATTTATTATCGACGGGGCGACTTAACCTATTCCTATGGGGCGCAAATAAGGTGCGGGATGTAAGCTAATACGCTAGCTGCAGTTCCTATTTAAATTCAACGGATCTACTAAATAAAAAAAGACCGAAAATTTCAAGACCGCATCCCAAATAGGGTTTGCTCGGAGCATTATTTCTGCCGAATTCCGATGCATTTTTTGCGTGCAACCTTTGAGCCGCCATATCTCGACTAGAACAAAAAAGACGCATTGTTTCTGAATTTTTTTGGATTCATGATGTCCAAAAGTACCTATATACCAAATCTCATTAAACTCCAATACCTCGACCTTTTGCACTTCCCGTGTAAGTTTCAAAGCTTAGTCCATCTTTTTCGCCTTTTTTTTTTAAAAATCAAATACCCATTTAAAGCCAAATGAACCTTTTCCAACTTATTTTTTGTCGCAGCCTGAAAAAAATATTTTTCAAACTTTGGCCAAAATCTTCGAAAAAGGTTTTTTTTCAGAACAGGAAGAAACTGATGGAGGTGATTGTAGAGCAGCTGTTGCCCGTTTTCGAAAGCGTCGTAAAGGAAAAATATTCTGGTGAGAATATTTTGGAGAAGATTTCTAATGTCTCAATTGCTTAGAAGAAGTTGCCACGTATTCACAGGATGAGCTGCGCGAGGAAGGTTCGGATTCCCTTTTCTTTTAAATATTATAAACTTCAAGGCGGTAAAAAATGGGGTTGGAGACAAATATGTCATTTTGTTGAGCGCTTTTTTGTCTGTCGAACGGTGAACTTGAACTTCCTATTCTTGGAAAAAAAATTAATTCAAAGAGCGTTTTGCAGGGAAGTTGCTCTATGGACAATGCTTCGTCATTTTTCGAATTTTCGCTTTTTTCTTCGTTTCTTTCGAATTTCAATTTTTTCTGTTGTCCCCAAAGCTCTTTTTGTCATAGAAACTTTCAAATCATGTATAACGTGCAAACTTCGATCTCGACATGCTTCTCAAAGCATATTTAAAAATTGAAAGGCGGGAAAATAAGATCACATTTTCCTTCAAAAGTACTCATGTATGACCCTTCGATTCGCAGTAAAAAACTCTGAAAGGTACTAATTTCACCTATAACCCCGTTGTTTACTGCCCCTATGCCTTTAAATTACCATTTTGATACCACGAAGAGTTTTCAGGGGTCCTCAAAGTACAAGCAGTGTCGCAGCAGCAGACTGCTAGAGAGACCAGGAAAAGGGCTGGAAGTCCTGAAGCTGGTGAGTACGAAAGAAAATTAGAGCATTTTTTTTACTAGTTTTTTTTATGATATTCAAAAATAAAAAAAAGTTGCCCAGAAACCTTCAAGAAAAAACGGGATTTTTATCCGTTTTCGGCCACAAATGCGTTTTAAAAACTGTCGTCATACATTCTTATTTCTTATTTCCCAGTATTTTCTTTTATGTAGAATTGTTAAGCATAGCCGATTGTATGTTTTACCCAACTTTTTCCCAAATTGGTGGAAGAAAATTGTTTTAAAATATAAAAAAGAACCAAAATGCAACGAAAATGACGACGTTTTTGAACAGCGAAGTGGGCGTGGCTCTGCTCCTGAAGCGGTGGCAATTGTTTCCCTTTTTACTGCCTTTTTTTCCGTCCTTCTTATCCACTTTTTTTGAATCCTTTCGAGAAACAAAAATTTTTTTAAATTGAGAATAATCTTTACCAGTGACAGTAGGAACCAAAAATGTGCTACAGTAATACAATCGGAAAGAACGAATTATAATAATCATTTCACCGAAGTTTTCAGGTCCTTCCTCCAAGATCCCGTGTCACCGCCGCGAAGAGACAGGTATCTTTTCCGACTTGGTTACATGGAAAAAAAGACATTTTTCGATCAAAATTACAAAATTTCCGCACTGTATAGTTAGATATAAAAATGACCATTTTTTTCATAACCAGTTCCAGTATTGGACCCATTCTTAGGAGCTCCAGAGTGGTCCCTATAGGGGCAACCTAAGGGTCCTTGGTGGGTGTCTTTTTAAAGACCGCTTTTACCAACCCCTATAGGGGCCACTAAGGCTTGCAAAAAAGGTCCCTATAGGGGGTATGCTAGTCGGTAGATGTTATGAACTCAATGCGAAAAGCTAAATAAATGTTTTTTGAATAAAATTGAAAGTCAAGGTGCTGAACAAGAAAAATGTCTCGAAACGGGGTTTTTTCTTCAGTAATCGGCAAGCTTCAAAGCTTCCCCCTAAAAAAATTCTCTCAAACGTTCCCTCAAGGTCCTGATAAAGATCCCCTATAGTCTCTACCTGCACGAACTTTTGGTTTTTGAGATATTAATTGTTAAAGTTTGCGTTCAACACAAGTTAGACCCCACAAGAAGGTCATTTTTCTGTGCGACTTAAAAAAAGGCTTAAGGGGTCAGATTTTAAACCATAGGGACCACCTTGATTTTACCCCTATAGGGACCACTTTTTTGGGCTCTAGAGAGGCTGATTTTCTTCCGAACTTCGATAGGGATCACACTGAAATTTCTAAGTCTAGCCGATTCATGGCTTCAGGAGGCGTGGCCTGTCTGCGCTCTCCACGCACCAGGCACTATCTCTTTCATTACTCGGCAGATACCTCGGCCCGGTGCAACCCCCAAATTTTCTCTCTTTTTCCCATCTTTTGCACTTTGCAAGTGGTAGTGACAAACCGTAACATTTTCGAGTCTTTTTCGTGCGAAAGGAGAGGCTGCACAGTGCTGACCACGAAGTTCAACTTGCATGGGAAGAAAAATTTTATATCAACGGGGTTTAACCTATTCCCATTGGGCGCAAATAAGGTGCGAGAAGTAAGCTATAGCAGGATTTTCTATTTAATTTTAAAAGATCTACTAAATAAAACTTTAGAATTGAATTTGAGAAAATTACAGATTTTAGATTCGCTTTTTTCGCTCGATTTCTCCCCTGAAATTGCACTGAATTGACTCGGAATTTCGAAAACTCCACTCTCGAGATCATTGCGCGATAAACTGACTCCGCGCTCGGTTGTGCCCCTGAATGTGCGAGAAAAAGCACCGAAAATTTAAAGGCCGCATCCCAGATAGAGTCTGCCCGGAGCATAATTCCTGCCGAGTATCGTGTCAAGACCCTTTTTTCGATTTTACGATGCGATTCAATCAATTAACTACCAGAATATGGCTCTATTTGTTCAATAAAAATTTCGAAGATGAAAAAAATATTTCATGGGATGAACTTGATTTATTTCAGAAAAAAACGGTCCGGGCTGAAACTGGAAACCTTTTTGAAGAGAGTCAAGCTGGCAGCAGCGGCGCCGGTGAGCGAGAAAACGGGATTCCTGGGAATAAGGCTGTTTCGCGGTTTTTTAACTAGTAGTCTCTGTGATTCAGACAAAAAGTTGCTTTCGAAGTTTTTGATGAAAGTCATTATCCGTTTTTTTCTCGACTTGAAACACACCTTTTCGATTCATCAAAAAAATCAAAAAAAGAGAAAAAAATTACCTTGATTCATTCAAAAAGGCCTAAATTCTTCGTAATTGGGAAAAAAATTAGCAAAAATTTTTTTGAAAAGTTCGTAGAATTCAGACGCCAACACACGGTTAATCCCGTACCCGATCATTTCAAGCCGAGAAAAATGAATAAATTGAAAAAAATCGTTTCAAAAGGTTCATTCACCGCTGGCTTGATTCAGCGCAACGATAGAGTGTGCGAAAATGAGAGGGTTTAGACGTATCAATAAAGTTAGCCTGTCGTGAATGAACTGTCCTATACGATTTCCTGTCAAGCGACTCTTCAACCCCGTTCCAAAGGCTAATAAATGTGAAAGAGTACGCTAAATCCGAAAATTCGAACTAACAAGCCTTTCTACATCTTTGTTCATGTGTTTTCTTCAAAAAAGCTTCTCCTTCTGTATTTGATGATTTTCCTCAACATGCTTCCTTATCTGACTGTTTTCAGTGATTTTAGAAACATCCTTTGAAGTTTTCAAAATGGCGATTTTCAAATCCCATCGCATAGATCCTCTTTTCTTCTATTTTTGCTTATCTTTGTCAAGTCCTTCTCTTCTTTCCTATCTGATCTCCGCCCCTACCTACATTTTTTCCTTTTTCGCATCACCTATGTACTGATTTTGTTTCCAAAAAAAAAGTTTTTTTTCGACTTTTTGACAAGGAAAACAAGGAATGGTACATGTTGCATTTTTCGTCAAGGTTTTCGGATTTAGCGTCACTCATTGAAATAACTTGTTCTTGAACTATTGGTGCATGGGAGTCGCTTTACAGGAAGCTGAGCTCATTTGGAGGGTAGGCTTTTATTTTAGAAATTTTCACTGATAACGGGAGTAATCATGAAAAACGGCTAGGCATAATAAGAGTTTCCGTTGAAAATTTCAACTTAGGAGACATTTTTTCATCATTTTTTTTTGGTAAGAAACAAAAAATCTTGATCAATAAATACTGTGGGAAGAAAACGAGCTTGAATGTGAGAAAATATTGCTTAAGTGGTCCCTAGAAGGTTCTAGAAAACCTAGAGTTTTCATTTTTGATTCTTAGAATTTAGGAACTCCAGAGTGATGCCTATGGGATCCCTATAGAGAAAATGCTAGACGATAATTGTTATGAACTCTCAGCGATGAAGCATTTCCATGGGAAAAACTGGATAAATAAGCATTTTTTGGATCAAATGGAAAGACCCCTATAGGGTCCACTTGAGCTTTAGGGGCTAAGAGGTCAGACCCCAAACCCCTATAGGGACCGCTCTAGAAGTTCCGAGAAGTTAGTGAGGTAGGATGAAGGTGGAAGGTCCTAAGTTGGCATTATTGAGCCAGATGGTCCCATTTTTTTTAAATTTTTTTTCATTACCTCTGGTTTCAACTCATTCGTGACTATGTGACCCCAGGTTTATCTTTATCTTATTTCATTTCATCTCAAAACAAAATTTCAAACGAAATATATATCCCGCCATTGAATTTCGTGTGAAATTAACGTGGACGAGGTTTTTACTTAGAAAATGCGGCCAAAAACGGGCCAAAAAAAGAAAAGAAAAGCCATGAATGCTCAGAAGAAGTTCCAAGTTCAATGTCAGAAAGAACTGAAGGTGTGGAAGGGAAATTAGAAGTCAAATTTGAGGGATTTTTAATAATAATGGGTTTATTCACTGCATACTGTTCAGAACTTGCTGAACCGACGCCAGTGGAAGAAAGGACGGCAGCTCCGATGGAAATTCCGGAAGCGTCATCCGAAGATCGTGAACACGTGAAAGAAGCCGATGTCGAATCCAAGCTCTCGTCGGCGAAAACATTCCGGAACCCGCCACTTTTCGAAGAGTCGGAAGATGCCCAAGGACCGAGCACAAGTCGGCTTCCAGAAGCGATTAGAGCAACTGCTGCAGGCCCTGAAGGTGCTGAACAAGATAAATGTCTCGAAACGGGGTTATTCTTCAGAACATGGCGAAGCTTCGACGTCGTCAGTCCCAGCGGCTTCAGTTGCGCCGATTCAAATTGGAGCCGTTAATTTGGGTAATTTTTTGTTCAGTCTGTTCAAATTGACTTTCTTGGCTCTTTGCTACTAGGAATTTTCTACAAATTTGCCAATCGCTGGCTAGAAAAGCTTCTTTATGCGGCCTTTTTGCGTCCCTTCATCAACCTATATTATTTTTTCTTGAGCTTTTAAATGTCTAGAGATGATGAAAAGCTACATTCTTTATAAAGGTTATCTTGTGACCCTTTTTGGCATTTTCCACTGAACCCTAAGAAATTGATTTCACTTTGAAAAAGAGGTGCTACGACAAGAGCGAGTTTTCCGTTTGCGAGGAGTACTGTATGCGGATATGCGCATTGCGTGCATACACTTTGCGTGTTTACTCTTTCGTTGCGTGACGTCACCGGGTTTTTACTCTATTGAAATCGTGCAAAGTGCAGTGCCTATGCGGGCATTATGCAAAAAAAAGTTACTTGCATTCTGCAGCATTTTGACGAGAAGATCCTCGCATTTTGCATTTCTTTTTGGGCCCACTTTTGTACAGACAAAAAAAAGTGCAAAGTGCGAGGTACTTCCTTGCAAAATTCAAAGCACTGATTTGCAAAATGCATGAAGCTTTTTTGCAGAATGCCGGCATAGGCACTGCCTTTTGCAAAAACTCTGAAGAGTTTTGTTTCGAGTTTTTCGAATATTTTTCAACTTTTTTTTGCTATTTTCTCGATGCTATTTGCACGATAAAAAAACAGTATCAAGGAAAAAAAAAATTGAAAATTATTCGAAAAAAAAAACCGGAGATGTCCGACCGGGTGACGTAACGAAAGTGTAAACACGCCAAGTGTATGCACGCAATGCGCATATCCGCATACAGTACTCCCCGAAAATTGAAAACTCGCTTTTGTCGTAGCTCCAAAAAAGAATTACCTCCCTTTCAAATTGATCTACTTTCAATGTTTACAGAAAGTCACAAAAAGGCGGTCCAAAAAAATGCGAAAGAGCCCTCGAAGCCGACTCGATCGCCAGTCCCGACAAGAGCAGCAAAAGCGACGGCGTCTAAGGTCTTCAAGCGTGTTGCCGCCGACGGACGTGAGCGTTTAAAATTGGTCAAACTTTTGTCTAGGAATTTTTTAAAAGTGTACCTCAAAGCACATACATGCTGAAGGGACCGAAAAAAAAACATCCTTTGAATCAAAATCACTAAAATAATCTTTGAAAAATGTAACAAGTTCTCACGTATAGCCGATTCACGGCTGGCTCGAACAATCGAAAAAATGGGTCCTGGCACGATAAGAAAAGAGACAGTGCCTGGCTCGTGGAGAGCGCAGGCAGGCCACAAGCTAGTCGGGAATTGGCTAGACTTAAGAGCTTCAGAGTGATCACTATAGGGGTTAGGGGGAAAATCAATGTCTGAAGCTGTTTTGAATATATAGAGAGTTATACAGTAGCGGAAATATGTGAGTATTTTTTTTTTTGGTTTTTCGTTCATAACTTTATTGAAAACCATTGTTTCGACCTGAAGTTTTAATGGGCTTACAAGAAAGGGCAAAAAACATTCTAGTTATTGGCCATTTTGCGCCAGTTTGTCACGATTTTTGATTCTCGCTGAACTAGAGAGTCATTCCGTTCGAAGTTTCTCTTTTTCTTTTATTTGGCCTAAAATTTTCTATATGTTATTTTAAAGGCGCAGGACAGATAGGGCTCTATAGAAAAACGATAATCGTGACAAGCTGGCGCTGAATGGCCTTTACAGCATGCCGTTAATGTGCTCCGTGGCGAATTTATTATCGAAAGTTTTCGAAATCGCAAGTTTTACCATTTTTTGATTTTTGCTCAGGCACTGGTGAGGGACGCGCCGGGTTTCTGGCTCTCATTTTAGCCTTTTGAGTGGGAAAACCTTTTTAAAATTGTTTATTGGTGTCTTTATAATACTTGTTAGTATGCCTGCTCACTTTTAAACCGGTTTCGATCACATTTGTGCGAGTTTTTAAAGAACCATATTTAAATTGGGAAATGGATATAGTTGAGTTTTATGCGTCGAATTTTATGTTTAACTAAGCATCATGAAGAGAGGAAACGCGTGAAAATGAATAATAACTGAATTTATGAGCTTTAATGGACAAAAAAGGCAAAAAATGAGCGGCGAAAACTATCGTGTCCCCGGCTCGTCCCCGCCTGAAGCGCAGCGCGCGCGCCACCAGTGCCTGAGATATTTGAAAATTTTTTTTCATTTTTTTAAGATTTTTTTTCAATTCATTTTATTTTTATTTTTCAAGTTTAGCGAGTAACTAGCTACCTTTTTCAGCTGTGAAGCCTAAGCCGAACCGTCGGTACTTGACGGAGGGAGAACTCAGAGGCGTTGTGAGCCGATATCAGAACGGCATACCGATAAAGGACATCGCGCAGCAGTTTGGCATCAGCGTCGGTGGGGCAAGGAACATTATAAAAAGACATGAAGATGTGGGAGAATCCATCTTCACAAAAAAACGACGAGGAGGCAAGAAGAAAAATCCCGACGTCGAAGATGGAGCTTTGTGAAAAATAGTTTTATCTGTTTTATTCAATTGTTTCAATCGTTTCACCAGGATGTTTCTTTATACCGGTTTACTTGATTTGTGGATTATGTATTATTAAATTGTTGTTAACATGTTTTTTTGCGATTTTAATAAACATTCAAAAAAAATTTCTTGAGTTTTTTTCGGAATCGGGTCAAACCATTATTTCGAGTTTTCAATAATATCATTTCACTTGATTGGTGGAAATTTCAGGTCGAAACAACGGTTTTTTTAACAAACTTATGAACGAAAAATCAAAAAAAAAAATGCTCTCCATTTCCGGTACTGTATAACTTTCTATCCAAAACAGCTTCAGCCACTCCCATAAAATAATAAATAAAAAAAATAAAAATAATATTTATAAAAAAAACTTGGAATCGAATAATTCGAGCTATTCGCGGATGGGGTATAACGTTTCATTATCGGCAGGGATCAAAAAAATATCGATTCAAACTCCGGCAAAAAGTCTGGAAAGACTGTTTTTTTGATAGTATATAGTCTGTTCAGATTTTTGAATGTCAACTAGCTAACTCCGCCCCTGCTGAGACGGTACCTTTTTCGCGTCGATGTATCATCGCGCGGGACGATTTTTAATTTTTTTTTTTAAGAAACAAAAACAAGTCAAAAAATGCAGCCTTATTAAAGGGCCGTCTGTCGATAAAACTTTGACGCGAAAGATATTGTAGCCTTGGGGGTGGAGTTAGCTGCTTGGCATTCTGAATCTGAACAAACTATATTATAGCCGGATCAATTATTGCAGCGCTTTCATAACGAAAAATTGATTGTTAGGCGCAGACTTGTTCTGCGCCATTTGGGTTTAGGCTGGGTTGGAAATTTGATTTTTCCATTCAGGAAAGGCGGACGAGAACAAGCCGGGAGAAGCGCCAGTCCAACCGAAGAACAAGAGAGGCGCGCCGAAAAAAATCTTGGCTCCAGTTGAAGATGCTGAAAATGATGAAGGTGCGGGAAAAAATAGGCCTCTTGAAAGGAAATGATAAAGGAAAATTAACTTTTTTTATTGCGCTAACTTTACCTTATAGGGGAATTTTTCAAGCTTTTGTAATCACGTCCACTTTTTCTCCGTAAAGTGTTGTGTGTCATGTGCATGCACTGCGCCGCTTTCGAGCAGAAAATTGCGTTTATGTATAGAAATTGCGATTCGTCTCAAAGAACTCTGGCAATACGGCGGCCTACGCCTTCAATATCCCTTTTTATTCATGATCTTAAAGCCGGAATCTCTGCCGTTCCCATGACGTCACGTGGGAACGGCTGATATTTTGGCTCCGCCCACCTTTTTAATGGTTTCGAATTTTCTTCCACTAACAAAAAACGCCGTGTAGTTTGTGTCTATAATATACTTTGTATATTCAGAGTAAGGAAAATTTTTAAAGGTTTGAATAGTATATGATGGTCAGGATTGTATATTACATCGTTTTCATGAAAAAAATGATGATAAGTTCGAGTTTTTCGTTCAGGAAATGTAGACGCGAACGGGCTGGAAGAAGCGCCAAGCCAGCAGGAAACAGAAAAGGAGAGGAGAGCTCCGAAGAAAAGAGGCCCGAAGCCGCGAAGAGCTGCAGGTGCGGAAGGAAAAATGAAGTTGCATTGAAGATCTTTTTTCAGAATTGGCCGAAGCGGCACCCGTTGAAGATGGCCCGGACGCTTCGGAGAATCAGCCGGAGGCCCCAGTGGCAGAAGCCGAAATTGATCAAGGTGCGAATTCCGCCGTCATGTTTTTCTAAAACCAAAACATTTTCTGAACCTCTCGGGGATCGAACTTGTGACCTTTTATATTGTAGACAGGCACACTACCCGTTGCGCTAAGTCGCTTTAAGATGTTCATAATAATCATCTTGATTGTCAGAATAAGGCAAACAATTAGGGTACAATTAGGAAAATGCTGACAAAGGTTTTAGTGGCCACTATACGGTTTCGACGTTTCAGTGGCCACTACAGTAGTCAAATTAGTGGCCACTTAAGGGGTTAAAAATTAGTGGCCACTATAGAGGTCTAAGCTCTACTACTAGACCACTAAAAATTTTAGTGGCCACTTTAGGGGTCAATGGATCATCACAAATGGTACAATATGTTTGTTTTAAAATTATCAGAGTTACTGGAAGAAATACTGGATGAAAAACTACGGAAGTGGCCACTAAATAGAGAACCTTTATAGTGGCCACTAAAACGGAAAATAGTGGCCACTTCAGAGGTGAGTTTAGTGGCCACTTTAGTGTCCTCTCCAAGTAGTCCTTGGCGAGCCTCTATAGTGATCACTAAAAAATTTCCCAGTGAGATGAAAATGGACAGAAAAAGTTTTTAAAAAAGGCCATATGGCGCAAAAAAAAGCTTGATCAAATTAAGAAAAAAGAAGATTCATAAAAAAAATGTCGCGAACAGTTATCCTAGATAAATTTGCTTGTAAGTTCATAAGAAGGCATGAAAAACTGACTTTAGCGGTTCATATTCAGTTTGTAGTTCGAAAATCTTTCTATTGCTGAAAAGACTCGGTCAATCTTCTATAAATAAATTTATTTTTTCTCGGTCCAGCCGGCCCATCCACTCTCCCCACTGCTCCGGTGCGAAAAAGAAAGATCCAGCGTAAAAAGAGAGGCGACAACTTGAAAGGTAACTTTTTTGAGGATTATGAATCATGTAGAGGTAGGCTTAAAATTGCTGCACGAATACTGTAATAACTTCGCCGAAATAAAAATCCGAACGCGTTTCTGGAAAAGGTGCAGTTTTATTTATGAGAATCTATTTGAAAGGAGACGCTAAGAAAGTCGCTCAGAAACTTTAGGAAAGTCGGAGGGTTGGATAATCGCCGATAAAAGGTGGAGGCTCAAAAAAGGGCGCAGAAAGGCTGCAAAAAGGCAACAAAATGGTTACAAAAAGGCATCAAAAAGGCAACTAAATGCAGCAAAAAGAGTCATTTTATCTAGCCTTAAATTTTCTCTAGAACTTCAAAGTCTCAAGGAATGGTGGAAAAAGGCAGAGGCAGCAAAATTGGTTCATAAGAGCCGATGGAATGGCGCAAAAAGGCAGCAAAAAAGGAGCTTTGCTCATCCCAAAAACAACATTTCTGTTTGCCTATGAAGAAAAAAAGGTAAGGTTGCGCGTTTTTGAATTCGTTACTGCCAAAACTGCTCGGACCTTGGAAACGGAATACCTTTAGTGGCCACTTTGGTAGCCTCAGCACTCTTAAGTGATCCCTAGGATTTCTCAGAAGCGTCCGGTTTTTACTACCGAGTGCTCTGCGAATGTAACTAACCTTAGGCAAAGTCAAAAAAAAAGTGGAACAAGGCTCCTATTTTGCTCCCTTTTTGCGCCATTTTATGGGCTCTTGTGCACCATTTTTGCCGCCTCTCTTTTTTTTTCCACTTTTTGAGCCTTTAAAATTCCAGAAAAAAAATGGCAGGCTCGATAAAGGGATACTTTTTGCTGCCTGTCTGCGGCCGTTATCCCATTCCGACTTTGCCCGCGGTTATTACAGTAAACGGTGCACGAAAGATTTGTTCTTTTCCGTAGGGTACGGTATGTGAAAGTCCGCATTTGGCATGTGCACGTGTTGGCACAAGCTGAGTGGTCGAATCTCCGCTTTTCTACTTTTTATTTAATAATTCTTAGCTTTGTTTTATAAAAAGTCATAATAAATAGTTTATGTGAATGAACTGTTTCCTAGGTCTCTTTGGAAGAGTTTTTTAAAAAAATATTAAAAAAACGGAGATGGGTCTTAGATTGTGAAAACACACAGAGTGCACATACCGATTGCGGACTTTGCCATACAGTACTCTTCGGAAAAAAAAATTCTCTTTTTGTAGCGCCCAGCAAATATTTCCGGATGAACTGACCGATTTTTAACTTTTTTTTTCTGAAAAAAAGGGTTGAAGAATAAAATTTCAGTTTACCGGGAGGAACAGAAGAAGTTGAAAGAGGCCGCGAAATTTGAAGCTGTAGCACGAGCTCGAGCTCGAGCTCAAGCAGAAGCACGAGCTCAAGCTCAAGCGGAAGCGGAAGCTCGAGCTCGAGTTCAAGCAGAAGCACGTGCTCAAGCTCGAGCAGTAGCGGAAGCTCGAGCTCAAGCTGAGACCCTAGAGCAAGTTTCGTCCACAAGCGAAGGGATCGAAGAAGGTGAGATTGAAAAAGATATTCATAGGAAACTGAAAATAGTAAATTTCGATGAGAAAATTCTTGTGCACTTTTTGTAATTTTGAAGAGCTAGATAGAGAGAGTTCCAAAAAGGATAGTCTGGTCGGATTTTCAATGACGTCATTCAATAACGCTTTGTGGATGGCTGCTCTCTCTTATTGGTATTTCGTGTCATTAGGGGCGGAGCTTGAGCAACGACTTCTGAAATAAATCTGAGTAGTCTATTTCATAGAATTTTCACTTTCAGTGGCTGCCGTCCACGATGCTTCTGAAGCTGGAGGAAGTTCCTCGGGAGGAGAAGGAAAAGTACGGGACAAAAGAAACCTGGCTCCAGAAGAAGACGATGAAGGACATCCGCAACTAAAAAGGCAGCGAAGAAACCAAAATGAAGAGCCCCTGGAAGATGACGTCAGCTCACGGCAAGTCGAGAGGTTTTTTTTCGAGGCCGCACTTGGAATGGTTCGCTCGGCGCGGTTGACGCAACCGTCATGATTTGAGCCATCCCACGTGCGGCCATGAACTGATTTTATAACAATTTCTTTTTCTGATGATCTCCAAAATAGCCAAAGTTTGCACTCCTTTTCTGAAAATTTCCGAATTTTTCTTCAACTTCTTTTTCTTCCCTTGAATATAACCTTGCTGATGAAAGCCTTGAAAAGTCTTTTTTTCGGAATTTTGAGGTCTTTTGGACTGGTAGCTTTTAAAAAGTGGCCGAAATCTGCTTCTGTTCTTCCTTCCTTCCTTTTTTTATCTTTGAAGAAATATAATATTTTTCCCTGACTTTTTTTTGGGAGAATACAGATTTTTAGCTCAAGCCCATGTTTTTTTAAATTTTGTAATCAGTAATTTAGAGTTTTCCCCTTTCTAAATCGTTCCTAAATGTTTTTTAACATAAGTGAATTTTTTTAAAAATCATATTCTTCAAACTGACAAGATTTGGAACAGGGACTATTATCTTAAAATTGAAAAAAACATTTTCGAGTATGCGATAGTGCGTCTCGGTGTGTTTACACCCTAAGCATCATAATTTACGAGAAGTATTGACCTTGCGTAATAAAAAAACGCAGAATTGAGAACTTTCACATTAACTTGAAATTTTTGATATCTTGATTAAAGTTCTCAATCATTTTTTTCAATTTGATCAAGTTTTTAGAATCCAACCTGTTGAAGGATTTTTGTGGACGCTATACTAAAATAAGAAGATTTTTGGGAAGTAATTATTTTGGCTTTTTCAGGGACCTTGAAAGAGAACAAGAAGTTGGCCAGGCCGTGTTCGACTACGAACATTGTCGACAAGGCCAGTTCGAACATCGCCGCAATGATGACGACGACGACGCCCCCTCGAGGCATTTTTTTATTTTTTTCAAAAAAAAAATGAATTGAAAGGCTTTCTTTCCATTTTTGAAGTTTGATAATTTCCCTTGATGGAAAAATTTTTCCAAGAGACTTTGCTCAACCGTTCTTCCAAAGCCCACAATCTGAGAAAATGTTCAGTGGCCCCTTAAGGGTTTTTGAATTCTAGTGGTCATTATAGTAGTCTCATTAGAGACACTAAAGTACTTAAAATTTAGTGGCCATTTAGACGAGATATAGTGGTTCCTGTAGAACTGGTTTTAGTGGCCACTCTAGAGTCCTCTCCAAAGAACCTCTTGAGTGATTTTTTTCAAACCGAAAACTGATCTTCGCCTCGAGACCCATATAAATTTCGTCAATGCTCCTTTAAAAACTCGATGTATTTTTTCAAAATATGCTTCAATCAAAACTCTCTGAAGTAGTTTTAGAAGCCAAAACGGAAGCTTTATAACATTCCGAGTGAAAAATAAGCTCTTTTATGTACCTAAAACGAACCAAAATTCAGCTCCGCCTTGGTTCCCAGACAGCAGCGGCAAAGCAGTTCTTCAAGGTTTTTTTTTTTGGGATTTTCCACAAAATATTCTCATAATTTCTTTGAACAGCTAATTTCAATGGTTTTTAAAGGTTGAATTCTCTGGAAAATGGCGTTTGAAACGTCTTTTTCAAGCTTCAAACTAGAAAAAACTTCGATTCTAACCGAATTTCGTTGTCTCCTTGATTGTAAAGTGAAGATAGTATGTAGAAAATAGTAAGATTTTGAATATTCCTTTCTTTTTTTCAGTTTTGAATCTTCTTAGTATTGGTAATATTCCAGCGGTTGCGGAGGAGAAAACGACGGCGGCTTTAAAAATGTCGTGAAAGTCAATGAAGTCGTGAGGAATGAGAAGGAAGGAAGTGAAACGGCACTTGTTGGCTGTGATACGCTTCAGACAAGGTTGATTATCCTCAAAGAAAGACTAGACTTAATCGACTGGACGAAGAATAAGAACTTTCGAAGTTATAACGAAAAACTGTCTCTGGTGAACTAGAAGTCTCATCGGGAAGTTTATCAAGTTGATAGAAGAAGTTTAGACGTGTAGTTGGTCAATTTGAATCGAGAAGTTTAGACATGTAGTTGATCAAGTTGATAGAAGAAGTCCGGGCGTGTAGTTGACCAAGTTGAGTTGAGAAGTTTAGACGTGTAGTTGATCAAGTCGAATCAAGAAGTCCAAACGTGTAGTTGATCATTTTGAATCAAGAAGTCCAGACGTGTAGTTGATCAAGATTTTTCATGATTATACAACTGAAAACCATCTCCTCAAAAGACTTTCAACCTCTTTTTCAAAAAAGAGAAGTTTTTTTAAGATTTAAAAAAAGGCGCTAGGAAGGTCTTTCGAAGGTCATTATCTTCAAATCTCCGTCACAGATTTTTCGAGGTTTTTCTTTCTGCGGTTTTCGGTTTATTTTAGAAGCAGAAAGAAGCATAAAACTCTAAATTTATTCAATAAAGCTCTTCAACTAAGGTAAGTTGACTTATAAAATATTAAACGATTTTTTTCTGAATTGTTCTGAACTTTTAGCTGACAAATCCGAAAATTTTTTTTTTTCAGCCCCGACCAAGACGTATTGAAAAAGAGCAACGAAGTCCTCGAAAATGGAGCCGGCGATGAAAAACACGGAACACAGTCAAGCCAAGTAAATAATTTTGTTTTTATCAATTTTTCTCTTAAAAAAATTCCGGAAAGTTTCTTCTCAAAATATTTTTTTAGTGTAATTCAAAACTTGTTTCAGGTCCTGCGAAGAAGAAAGTTGCGGCGAAAAATACAAGCAAACCGTCGAAGAAGCGGCTGAAAACGGAGAAAAAATCTCTCCAATCAAGTAATTAAACTTTTAAATGTATTGTCGAACCTAACCTTAATAATACTAACGTCGTACGTAGAAAATATAGAATCAAAGCTTCTAGTTTATATTTTAAATTTCCTTGATTTCAGTTAAAAATATAACGGTTTTTTTCAGGGAATTTTGGGCAAAAACAAAACAAGAACCTTGAAATGGAAGCTGAAAAAGGACGGAAATCGTTCCGGAATTCCACAGAATAAGTAATTTTTTTGAGTTTTTTTAGAACGGATTTGACGATTATAATCCATTTTTTTCATGGCTTAAAAAAACAGTCCCTGACTCATTTTTTTGGCGCTAATTTAAAGGGTATGGGGAGGGGGGAAAGTCGCAGTTTGAGGAGGGTAGGCCGCAGTTTGGGGGGGTAGGCCGCAGTTTGGGGGGTAGGCCGCAGTTTGGGGGTAGGCCGCAGTTTGGGGGGTAGGCCGCACCCCGGGATGGGATCCAGCCGACCTAGGGCAGAAATTCAATTACAGCCAATACATTTCAAACCGAGAAAAATGGATTATAATTTAGAAAAAGCATCGAAAAAAACGGTTCATTTTTCAGGCTAAGTCTCTTTTTTTCAGAATCGTCGTCGGAAACGCCATTGAAAACGCCGAAAATGACGACTCTCTTTTGGTTCTTGAGCAAGTCCAGGAGTTTGACGGCCTCAATGAACCGATGTAAGTTGAAGAAAGCTCGAAGAAATTAACCATCAGTTTTCTTAAACTCCTTCTGTCATAACTCCCCTGCTGACCGGGTGTCTCTACGGGTTCACCCGTGTTTTTTGACCTCGGGCTAAAACGGGAGGAATAGGCCACCTAGCTGTGTCTATTTTATAAATGTCAACTGTGGTAGAAAAATGTCAGAAGTTTCACTAGCTGTACGGGTTTAATGCGGGTACACCCGGCGAGATCCCTTGCCCCTACTCCCATCAGCATGAGGGAAGTTAGATGGGAGAATTACTTTTCAGCAGCTTTATTGAAATGAGCCGTTAAAAACGCGAAACCATAGGTGAATCAAGAAAGGGTATCGCGAGACCCTCTGAGGTATATCGCAGGCTCTGAAGCCTCACGATGGTACCTTGAGGATAACCTCTGAGGACTTTGAGCAAAGTGAGACTTGAGGGAGACTCTCAAGTACCTCCGAGATGGCTCAGATATAGCTAAAAGGTATGACGGAGGTCTCACGATGGACACATGGTGTCTTCACGATCCCTTTTGAGAGGTACCTTTGTGGACACATTGTGGTACCCTTCCGATTCGCTTGTGATAGATTCGACCCGCAGAGAATCGAGGAGACGTTAAAAACTATTCTAGAAGATTTATTAGTTATTCGAGATCAATGTGAAACTTTCTAGAAAGGCAGAGAAAGATTAGGAACTTTATAGAAGGGGAATCTTTACACATGAATGAGCAGATCTTCTTAAAAGGCCGTAAGGGCTTATTTTTTACAACTTTTTCTCTTCCCGGACATATTGAGTTCCTTACTTCCCCACCTACGCTCTTACACATGATCCCTATGACTTAATGAGACTAGAAACATTATAGAACGTTCTAGAATCAGCTTGATCCAAGAATTGTGAATATTGTACAGATCCTCAATAAAATTTAACAGACGTTTACTATTCCAGCGTTTCGCGAGAAAATGAAGCTGGGCCTTCTGGAGCAATCGAAAAAAGTTCTGGCCAAAATAATGTCGTGGGTCGAGAAGAAGGGGGAGCAAGGCATGAGGAAGTTGGAGAACAAGAAGGGCAGGAAGGACAAGAAAAAGTCGCGGATCGTCGGCCGGAAGGAAGGGAAGAAGGAGAAGTGGACTCCAGGTGAATCTACTTTAAATTCGGAAAATGAGAGAAAAACGTCCTTTTTTAAACATTTACTGTAGAAACTTAGGTATTCATCTTTAAGTTTTTCACTTTTTTGTTGAAAATTAGAAATGTATCAAAGAAATTTGTCATTCAACTTTATGATTTCACTGCCTTCTCACGTGTTTGTAAGCTAGTTTGATGTTCCTATGAGAGGTGAGAGAGAAGAAGGCGCAGGCAGGTCAGACAAGTTCATACATGGGCTAACCAACTACTTTTTGTGACGTCATCACGTACCCCCCTTGAAAAAGTACGTACCCCCCCGCGGATGACTATCAATGTGAAATGATTATTAAAGTTAATATAAGAATTGAATGAGACTATTATCTTATTTCGCGGGCTTTTGGAAGTATATTCAGCTAGGTGTCAACACTGCAAAACAGAAATATTTCAACTTTTAGCGTAGACCCCCAAAATCCGAAAATCGATCTGTTTTCAATGTTATCCTACATTATGAATCGAGTTTTATGATTTGGCAGAGTTTCAAGCCGTTGGGATGAGTTTTGAGGAAAATAGTTTTTTGGACCACCGGGAAGGGATATTTTGAAATTTTGAATTTTTTGGCTCAAAATCAATATTAATCTTGAGTTAACTCTAAATAAGGTATATCCTCCAACTTTCCAACCTTCCGGACGTTTTTTGACCAAGTTACAGTGTTTCAAAGTGTTATCTCTTTACGGTTTGCGTACCCCCCGTACTCCCCCAAAATCGGAAAAATCGATCTGTTTTTCAATGTTATTCCACATTATAAAGGGAGTTTTTATGATCTGGCCAAGTTTCAGGCCGTTGGGATGAGTTTTTAAGGAAAAATAATTTTTTTGGGCCACAGTAGATGTATGAATGTATGCTGATCACGATTTTGCTAGTTTTTTTAATTGTTAAACTTGTATTTTTTTATCGTTCACATGTGTGGTAACGCCGTAGGGTGAGTTGAAAAAAAATGAGCGTTAGGGTGAGACTTTCTCTAAATCAAACATGTTGTAGAACACGATTTTTTAGGATTTTTTGAAAAAAAAAACCGAATATCATCACTCAAGCCGTTTTCGAGATACTGTGGCTCAAAAAAAGGGGTACGGTAGGACCCTTCAAAAATCTATATCTTGACATAAAATCGACGAAATCCAAAGTTTGTAATAAGGTGCAATATAATCTTATTCAATTTTTTTAAAAAAATCTTAAACCTCATTTTGCTCATTATTGCTCATATTACAGAGTTTTTCAAAACCACAAATAAAGTACTCTTTATTGAGTCAAACATGGATTATTCGAATTTTCCATCTAACACCCGAAAATTCCAAAAAACATGTGATTTTGGGTAAGTTTCCCGAATAACTTTTTTATCTCCTGTTTTTTTGGATTGAAACTAGCAAAATCGTGATCAACGCGCATTCTTACATCCACTAGGTCATTTGCAAAACGAAACGAGGAAAAAAATTCAAAATTTCAAAATATCCCTTCCCGGTGGTCCAAAAAACTATTTTCCTCAAAACTCATCCCAACGGCCTGAAACTCTGCCAAATCATAAAACTCACTCGACAATGTAAAATAACATTGAAAACAGATCGATTTTCCGATTTTGGGGGAGTACGGGGGGGTACGCAAACCGTCAAGTGATAACACTTTGAAACACTGTAACTTGGTCAAAAAACGTCCGGAAGGTTGGAAATTTGGAGGATATACCTTATTTAGAGTTAACTCAAGATTAATATTGATTTTGAGCCAAAAAAATTCAATATTTCAAAAATATCCCTTCCCGGTGGTCCAAAAAAACTATTTTTCCTCAAAACTCATCCCAACGGCCTGAAACTTGGCCAGATCATAAAACTCCCTTTATAATGTGGAATAACATTGAAAACAGATCGACTTTTCCGATTTTGGGGGAGTACGGGGGGGTACGCAAACCGTCAAGTGATAACACTTTGAAACACTGTAACTTGGTCAAAAAACGTCCGGAAGGTTGGAAATTTGGAGGATATACCTTATTTAGAGTTAACTCAAGATTAATATTGATTTTGAGCCAAAAAATTCAAAATTTCAAAATATCCCTTCCCGGTGGTCCAAAAAACTATTTTCCTCAAAACTCATCCCAACGGCCTGAAACTCTGCCAAATCATAAAACTCACTCGACAATGTAAAATAACATTGAAAAACAGATCGATTTTTCCGATTTTTGGGGGAGTACGGGGGTACGCAAACCGTCAAGTGATAACACTTTGAAACACTGTAACTTGGTCAAAAAACGTCCGGAAGGTTGGAAATTTGGAGGATATACCTTATTTAGAGTTAACTCAAGATTAATATTGATTTTGAGCCAAAAAATTCAATATTTCAAAATATCCCTTCCCGGTGGTCCAAAAAACTATTTTCCTCAAAACTCATCCCAACGGCCTGAAACTCTGCCAGATCATAAAACTCCCTTTATAATGTGGAATAACATTGAAAACAGATCGATTTTCCGATTTTGGGGGAGTACGGGGGGGTACGCAAACCGTCAAGTGATAACGCTTTGAAACACTGTAACTTGGTCAAAAAACGTCCGGAAGCCTGGAAACTTGAAGCATATACCTCATTTAGGGTTAACTCAAAGTTGATAATGATTTTTGAGCCAAAAAAATTGTAGATTTCAGAAATCATTTTTCTTATGGGGTCAGAAGTTGATTATTTTTTTCAATTTTCCAAACGGCTTAAAATTTGATGAGCATGTATATATCATCCATTGGTACCATTTAAACTAGAATTCAGGTCGATTAATCAGCTCTGGAATTTTTTATAAGGCTATTTCTACGATTCCTCTCGATTTTTTCTACCGTTTGGAGCTAGGCAAAAAGATAGGCAACGAATTTCCCACTAAATGTACTTTAAAAAGCTCGATAAATAATATGGATGCATTTTCCGCGGCTTAGAAAGCCATCTGAATGAATAGGGGGGCCCGAAAGTGAAAAACAGCCTGTTAGCCCACGTATGGACAAGTTGGAAAGAGATTTAATTTCAGTGACGACGATGATGAGGATGGAGAAGAGGAACATCAGAGCGTAGCAAGGCGAGAGGAAGTTGAACAGCAAGGAGGTCAAGAAGGACAGGAAAAGGAAGGAAAGGAACAAGTTGTGGATCGTCAGCCGGAAGGAAGGGAAGAAGGAGAGCTCGAAACGAGGTAAGTCTTTCTAATATTTGGTATTTAACTCGAAAAGTAAGAGAAAACGTCTTTTTTTAAACATTTATGTGGAAAATCAACGATTGATTTTTCAATTTCTTTCTTTGTTTGTTGAAAATTGGAAATTTATCGAAAAATTTTCCATAAAAGTTTTTGATTTCTCTGCCTTCTCACGTGTTTGTAAGCTAGTTTGATGTTTCTATGGCTAGTCTGGTGAGAGAGAAAAAGACGCAGACAGGTCAGGCAAGTAGGGAAGAGAGGTGAATCTACTTTGAATTCGAAAGTTCTTTCGAAAAATGAGAAAAAACGTCCATTTTTTAAAAAAATTTTCATCTTTAACTTTTTCACTTGTTTGTGGAAAATTGGACACTTTTCAAAAATTTTCTGATTTTTCTGCCACGTGTTTGTAACCTAGTTTGATGCATTTATGAATAGCCCAGTGAGAAAGAAGAAGGCGCAGACAGGTCAGACATTTTCAAGAAAGGGTGAGGAAGATTTACTCGAGTTGATTTTCAGTGACGATGATGATGGAGAAGACGTGGAGCAGGAGGAGGAAGAAGAACGAGAAGGCCGCGTAGTGCGAGAAGAGGAAGGAGAAAAAGAAATGGAAGTAGAAGAAGCACAAGAGCAAGCAGTGCAAGAGGAAAGAGAAGAGCAAGAAGTAGTAGAACAAGGATGCGAAGTCGTGACCGGAGAAGATGAAGAAGAGCCTGAAGTAGTTGCGCAACCACGAGAAGAACAGCAAGAAGAAGGAAATCTGGGAAAACTCGGAGAAGAACATGAGCAAGAACGAGAACGAGAAAAAGAACGAGAACAAGGACCTTCTGCTGCTGAAAGTGGATTCCTTGGCCTCGAAACTGGGCCTCCAGAAAACGAGAAGTCCGACCGGCCTCAATCGAGGTAATTTTCGAAAATCCCCGAAGAAAAAGAGTTTTTTCCAAAACAAACTTTAATTTTCAGCCACGCACGAGAAGCTGAAGGTGAAGAGGAGGAAGAAAACCTGGGACATGAAGAAGGACCTTCTTCTGTTGGGAATGGAAGTCTTCAGCTTGGAAAAGAGTTCTTGGAGAAGAATCAGCCGAGGTTAGTTTCAACTGATACATATGAAAAGTGTGACCGTTTTTTTAAGTAAAGGGGTTTTTAATCTTCCTTTCTTTTCCAAGTACAGTACCGTGAAATAAGTAAGATATATAGTCGATGTTTCTTTTCCAAGTACAGTGTCCACAAGTTGAAATTTCATGAAACGACACTCCGCTGTTTCGGTTTGTGCGGTAGCGCGCATCGTGCGAATTTGCCACCCTAGGCCACGCTAATTTTTTTGGTTTTAATTCTAATTTTGATCGTTTTTTTAATTGTTTCATTTCTTTAAAATGTATTATTATCGTTGAAAAGGATTGCGTTGTACAAATGTAAGCGAAAGAACACAGTAAGTTTCATGATCTTCCTCGAAAAGAGCGATAAAAAAAAGCGTTTTTGATAAAGCCATGTTTTAATGTTTTCATCGTTTTTTTTTCTGTTTGTCGCAGTTGTTAAGGGATTTTTTCAGAAAGTGAGTGGCTTATAAAATGAAGATTAAAACCAAAAAATTAGCGTGGCCAAGGTTGGCTAATTCGCACGATGCGCGCTACCGCACAAACCGAAACAGCGGAGTGTCGTTCCATGAAATTTCAACTTGTGGCATATCGACTATACAATTTCACTTTTTTTGTCATAACTTTTGCAGGAGTTGTCCAATTTTTGTCAAACTTCCTACAGTTGTTTCCTGAAGATCCATTATTTTAACACAAAAAAATCAGCTGGGTAGCTTATTGTTGTAGTTAGTTACAGCTTGAAACCTGGAATCAACAAAAACGAAAAAAAATTTCACAAATTGTTTTTGGTTGATTCACGCTAGGACATGGTTAATGAACACATTTTTATGGTTCATTGAAGCTTTGAGCTCATTGCTCATTGTACGACTGTTACCCAGATAAAAAAAAAGCTTCAAGTCCAGACGCCCTTGATTTTTTGTGGACTCCCTCACAAAATTGTAAAAATGAAGATTAATTTTCAGGTATGAAGCGGGTGGCGAAGAAGAAGGTGAAGATGTACCAGAAAAAAGGGATTCTTCCGCTAGAAATGAGCAAGAGAAGCGCATGGAGAACGAGATTCAGGAAAAGCTTCCGACGAGGTGAAAATCAGTTGTTACGGTTCTAGAGTGTACCCGTTTAATGAGAAGAAACAAGAGAAACATTTCATTTTTGAATTTCTTGTTTTCCCGAGTGAAAATGAAGATGAACCTTCAGGGACGGAGGAGAAGGACGTGGAGGAGAAGCCATGGAAGAAGAGGAAGGAGTAGAAGAAGCAGTGGGAACTGGAGAAGGAGCTTCTTCTGATGGAGAACGTTCACGTCATGGAAACGAGCTCTTGCAGAAGGAAAGCAACGTTCCGAGGTGAATTTCAACTTTCAGAATCGTTTTTCGTCAAATGGACCAATAGAAAAATTCAATTTCCCGCTTCTTTTTTTCCAAGTGAGAAAGAACTTGAATTTTCAGCGATGAAGCAGGTGGCGAAGATCGAGAAAGAAGATCTTCTTTGAATGGAAAAGACCAGCAGGGCGTTACAGAGGGCGAAGAGCAAGGAAATCCTCAGACAAGGTCCATTTTTGAACTTCTTTGTGAGATAAGATGAAGATGATGTTTCAGGGAGGGAGAAGAAGAAGGAGCCCAAAATGAACCTCTTGAGCTTCAAAATGGGCTTCCAGAGAAGAGCGGTTCGTCTCGGCTGAGGTGAATTTCCACGGAAGCAGAAGTTATTCAAATTGTTAGCTTAAGGAAAAAGGAGAACTTTTATTTTTTTAAACTTTGTTAAGTTGAGATGAAGTTGAATTTTTTAGCGTTGGAGACGGGGAGAAACGCCAGCAAGGAGGAGAGCATGAAGAAGAGGTCGTTCTCGAAGACGAACAAGTGGTGGAAGGAGGAAACAGAGAAGCCGTCGAAGAACAAGGCGGCGAAGAACAACAACAACAACAACAACAAGAAAAGGAAGGAGGAGGTGTAGAAGCCGTGGGAGAAGAAGACGTCGACGAAGAAGAAGACGAACAAGAGGTGGAAGAAGGAAGTGGAGAAGCCATGGAAAAAGAAGTCCTCGTCGCCGTCGAACAACTTCTGGAAGCCGTCGAAGAACAAGGCGGCGAAGAACAACAACAACAACAACAAGAAAAGGAAGGAGGAGGTTTAGAAGCCGTGGGAGAAGAAGACGTCGACGAAGAAGGAGACGAAGAAGAAGACGAAGAAGAGGTGGAAGGAGGAAGTGGAGAAGCCCTGGAAAAAGAAGTCCTCGTCGCCGTCGAACAACTTCTGGAAGCCGTCGAAGAACTAGAAGTCGAACAAGAAGTGCGGGCCGTCGATGAAGTGCAAAATCAACAACTACAACAAGGAGGGCATGAAGAAGACGTCGACGTCGAAGCAGTGGAAGAGGAAGAAGGAGAAGCCGTCAGAATTGAAGAAGGAGAACGACCACGGCTTGAAAATGGGGTCCAGGCGATCGAGAACAATCATCCGAGGTAAATTTTGACTGCATCTGCTCAAAAGTGTATCCTTTTTTTGTTGAAAGAATAAAAAAGATTTTTTTCAACTTTCTCTTTGGTAGTGAGTTAATTTTTCAGCGACGGCGCAAGAGGAGAAGAAGAGGGTCAACGAGGCGAGGCGACTGAGCTTCCTCAGATCGGGCAGGAGCTCATGGAGGAGGTCGAAGAGTCGGAAGCACCTCAGTCGAGGTTGGAATACAACAGAGTCATTTCTAAACTAGACATAAGGGGGAAGAGTTCATATACAGCCTGATTTTTTTGGTTGTCAATCAGTTAACCCCCCTGAGGGGGAGTACCTTTTTCGCGTCGATAAGATATACTAAGGATAGTTAGAGTGGTCTTTATGAATTTTTAGAGTGAAAAACAGCCACCCCCCATTGGTGGCCGAAAGAGTGGTTCCTATAGGGGTTGAATCAAGGTGCTCCCTATACGGGGTTTAGGGTCTGTACTCTGAGCCTCTAAAGTTTAAGGGGTCCCTATAGGGTTCTTTCAATTTTATCCAAAAAAACGCTTTTCTATCACGATTTTCGCATGAGAAAGCTTCTTCGCATAGGGTTCATGAATATTATCGACTAGGATGTCCCCTATAGGTACCACTTTTGCAAGCTTTAGTGGCCATTTTAGTGTTTCTTATAGGGTTGTTCCCTAGAAGGGCCCCTCGAAGGTTGCCCCTACAGTGAACACTCTGTATTTTAAAGGAGCAGCAGAAAAAAAAAGCTACCATAAAACAGCTTTTTTGCACTTTTATTCTCCGAAACTGAAAGAAAAAAGGTCTTGAAGCGAACAATTCGAATTCTATCCGACTTACGGTCTTCAAAAAACAGAAGAAGATGGCGCGGGATATTCTAGATTAAAAAAGGAAGGTCAAAAAAAGCAGCGCTATTAAAGGACCATCATCTCGCGGAATAAAACATCGACGCGAAAGATACCGTATCCCCCAGGGCAGAGTTAGCTGTTCCATGTTCGAAATCTCAATCTGGAGAATCCTTTGAGTTTTCGCTGGTAGTATGAATTATAATATAGTCCGTTTTTCACGACCTCAAAGGGGCGGGACTTCTCTGAGCCCTCTCATTTTGAAGTGTTCTTTTCTTTCTCTGGCCGGCGAGGGAAAGAGAGACGCAGACATTTGAAAACGACCAAGTCGCGGCGGACGGACCTTTTTTCTCTTCGAACGGAAAATCAAGTTGATTTTTTAGCGATGAAGAAGGATCGGCTCTGACTAATATGGTTCCCGATGAGATTGAACCGGAGGAAGTCGGAAATAAAGGTCCTGTTCCGTCCCAAAGTCATGACAATGGGTCTCCAGTGTCGGGATACGAGGAACTATCCAATTCTGGAGAGGTTCCGCCGAAAAATCCCCTCACAAGGTTTGATTATTTCCCAGTTTACATGTGAAAAAAGCTGGCGGAAAGTCTGCCGATTAAAAATAGTTGACAGGAGTCATGCTTTTTGAGTTGTAAAAAATAACGACGCAAAGGCGTGGCCAGAAAACTGCGGGCCATTTTTAAAAAAATCCAGGAAAAATCTGGATAACACTGAAAATTTTGATTCGAAGCTTGCAATGGATGGTCATTTTACTCCCAAATTTCACATTTTTATCCATTTTTTTCTTTAACAGGTCAAGTCAAGTTCCGGCGAATGAAGTCGTTTCTTCCCCCGCGAACTCGGTTCATCGTTCGTGCTCGGTGTTGGTTCTTTTTTTATTTCAAAAAAATTTTTCCAGAATTTTTTTGAACTTGAACGTTTTGAGAGCCATTCCACATGCGAAACTGCCAAAAAAATAAAAATAAGAAAAAAACGATTCTTTAGGCCTATAAAGAAAGTTTGATCAAAAAAAATAATCTAGTTTCAGAGAGACGGAGCCCGCCTACATCGAAAGTCCTGAGTGAGTTTTATTAATGCAGAAAATCGAGTTTTACGATTTATAAATCGAGGTTAATCAACTAAAAGAAAATGTAAGACCTAAAAAGACAGATTTAAAAAAAATTGAGAATCACGCGTAAATCTATATGTGAGCCGAAAAATTATCATTGGAGCGCGAGTGTACATCACCATCGATTTTTTTCATATTTTTAACTAAAAAAATTTTTTTCCAACGTATCTTTTTTTAACTTCTTCTGTTTTTGAATTCATAATGCAATAACACATGAACATTAATAAAATTAAAAAAAGGTATTGGATTTTTTTAATTTTTTTCGATAGTCAGGCTTCGAAAGTTTTGAGAAATAGAAAGTTTTTGGACTGAGCTATTTTTTTACAATGTTCATTCAAAATCAATTTAATTGCATTTTTCCAAAAATTTAACATGGTTTTTACAGCTTGGGGCCAGAAGATGCCGGCAGAACGATGTCTCCGGTTCGTTTTTTCTTCATTTTTTTCCATGAAATATGCAATCTATTTCAGTTTTTGTTTTATAAAATTGTTTTTCAGAGGGACTTTGAAAGAGAAAAACGCCAATTGGCCACTTTCTCGCGCGATTTGGGCTACGAGGTGAGATTGACTTTGAAAAAAAACAATCACATTTAAAAAATGTAAACGTAGTATCATTTTCAACCTTTTTTCTGATCACAAATTTTCCGCGTTTAAAAAAAGGTTCAGCGAAATGTTAAGGGATGTAGAGTGACTGTAGAGATATCCCAAGGTACCGTACTTTTTTGGTTAACGAAGTCGATTTTTCGCACTTTTTGGTATTTGGTTTCAAAATTTTCGATTTTCAGTGCCAGCCAGGACCCAGTTATGCGTATCCGACAAACACCGATTTTGTTCAAAGTTATCAAAGATCTGTCGATCGGAACGCCATCGATTTTTTCAAACAAACGGGGTCTTTCTCCACAAATGCGGCCGGTCAGGGACTAGTGGTAAATTTTTTTTTCTGGCAAAAAATCGAAACGAGAGAACAGTGGTGGTCTGAAGAGACTCCAGACGACTAGAGAGAACACTTTTCTCTTGCTTTTATTTCAATAATCCTTTGTTTTTGAGTCGAGAAAACCGCGGGTGAGAGACTGTAGCGACCTGAAAAGACGTCAGAGAAGCGAGAGTGTTTTTTTTTCTCTGACGTCTCTCTCGTTAAGCCTTTTCTCGAGAAGCTAAAGAAATGAAGGTTCCTCTTTTTCTCTGGTGTCTCCTTGGAACAGCGCTATTTTTCCTCTCTTAAAATGAGAAAAATGACTTCTCCTTTCGAAAAAATAACAGTTTGAAGAGATTCCAGAGAAGTTTCTCTTTTTCTCTGTCGTCTCTTCAGATTGTCGTTTTTCTCTCGTTTTCATATTTTCATCAACATTTCCTTTGAATTTTCGAAAAAAAAAGAGAAAATCGATGATTTTTTCTAGAGCGGCGGTAGCTTGGCCACGGCGGCTGGTCTTCAAGAGCCGATGGGAAATCCTCGGCGCAGGGTACATATTAATTTTTCGAACAGAGTGGTCCCTATAGGGGTAAATTTAAGGTGGCCCCTATAGGATTTCAGCCCCTAAAGCTCAAGTGGGCCCTAAAGGAGTCTTTCAATTTCATTCAAAAAACGATAATTCATTCAGTTTTCCCCATGGAAACGCTTCTTCGCTTAAAGTTCATAATAGTTAAGCACGTCCCCTATAGGGGCCACTAACTAAAAACCCTATAGCAACCACTTTTGCAAGCTTTAGCGGACCTTATAGAGGTTGATACAGTGGTCCATAAAGATGCCCCTAAAGGGACCACTCTGGAGTTCCTAAAGTTGCTTTTTTCTGAGCTTTTTCAAATTTTTTGGATTCACAAAGTTCTTAATTACCTCTGTACAAAATTTCATCAAATTCCAAAAATTCCACCTTTTGCACTTCAATCGGGAGAACGGTGGGCGTCACAAGAGACGTTAGACGACGAGAGCAACTGTTTTTCTGCCGTCTCTTGAGACCATCTGTTCTCTTCTTGAATTGGGAAAAAGTCCATCGAATTCAGTTTTTTTTCACATACAACTCGAAAACGGCAAAAAAAAATGATTGGATCCAAAAATAGTTTTTCCTCTCAGAAATCGACCCCGAGGAAATTGATAAGCAATAATTTCGATATCGATTTTCTGATGACTAATCACTCGGTGGAAGAGCAGGCCCAAGAAAGAGTCCCAGAAACATCGGTACTTCTTTGACTTTTTCAAAAAGCAACACTTTGATTTTTGAAAATTCGTGAAGGTTTTGAAACCCCCTCCACGGTCCCCAGGGCCGTAAAAGTTTTTCCAAGGTTAGAGGATCCTTACTTAGGAGCTCCAGAGTGATCCCTATAGGGCTTAGGGGGAAATAAAAGCTTATTTCTTCAGTTTTTCCTGTGGAATTGCTTCTTCGCTCACCAGTTAGAGTTCATAACATGTCCCCTATAAGGGCCGCCAACTGAAACCCCTATAGGGACCACTTTTGAAGCTTTAGGGATCCCTATAGGGGCTGGTAAAGTGGTCCCTATAAGGATTATTGAAAAAAAAACACCTGTAGGCGCCGAAAAGTGGTCTTTATAGGGGTAAAATCAAGGTGGTCCCTATAGGGTCTTAGGGTCTGACTCCTTAGCCCCTAAAGCTCAAGTAGACCCTACAGGGGTCTTTCAATTTCTATTCAAAAAGTGTTTTCACTATAAAAGGCTTTTCCGCTTAGAGTAGATATCAATTATCGACTAGTATTTCTCCTATAGGGATCACTTTTGAAGCTTTAGGGATCCCTATATGGGTTGGTGAATTGGTCCCTATAAGGATTAGGGAAAACCCTATAGTCTTAACAATTATTGACTAGCATGTCCCCTATAGGGACCACTTTTGTAAGCTCAGTTTATAGACCTGTCAAGGCCGGCCGCGCAGCTCTGCTTTTCCAAACTGAGCCTAAGGATAATAATAAAACAGACACAGTAGCTGATTTTTCTGACAATTTGTATCATTAAAAAATTGATCTTTCTTCAGACTCCTCAAGTCGTGAAGATGAAGGATGGCGTTGCTGTTTTGGCTCAGCCCAGGAAGCAAAGAAACCAGCCGGTATGTTTAGAGGTCTTTTGGCGTTGGTCGCACTGAGGAAGTCGGAAAAAAATACTACTAGAAATGTCACAATCGCGATCTTTTTTGAGTAGGAAGTATAAAAATTCAACTTGCGCAGTGTTGCGTCCAGCCATTCCAAACGCGGGAGGTCATTTCACATGACGGTTTGGAATCTTCTACAAATTTGCTCAAACGATCTCTGAAGGTTTCTTTGACGACCCATCCAAGTCGCAACCTGCCCCAGCTTCTAGCTTTCGAGATAATGATTTTTGAAGTTTGAAAAATTAGGCTTAAAAGTTCGAATCAAAAAAAAAAAAAAAATCAAAATGACCTTCCTTGTTAGATTTTTCAACAGTGTCGTAAGAAAATTGTAACAATTATGAGTGATCAGAGCGAAATGGTAGCTATTTTCATCGGAGATTTATTTTATACGACGACTTTTTCACTGACCAGAAAACGTTTTTTTCTTCATGAGTCAGAAAAATCATTTTTTCTTATGGATTTCCGACCGCACCGGGAATGGCATAACGCATTGTGGTAGCGCTGCGTTTTGAGTTCCAAGGCTTGTCTTTAGATACCAATGAGCGTAAGCCGATTTTTGGTCGGCCCCAAGTTAAAAATATCCTTCGAGCCATTCCCCATTGATTGTAATATTACTTTTAAGCCCCGGGCGGTACCGTTAACTTTGGACCAAGCCAGCTCCTCAGGCGCTTCCAGCTCCCGGCAGCCCGAAAGTGTCGCTTCTCTCGACGACATGCCCGGAGGATCGGGCACCTTCTTCAATCATGTGGCCAAGGTTGAGAACTTTACTTTTGAAACAGTCCGACCCGTCTGCGCTCTCTTTTCCCTCGTCGACTTTAGAAAAAGAAGGTCTTGTCGGATAGTCGTTTCCGCGTGTCTGCGTCTCTCTGTTCCCTCACCACCTAGGTTGGAAAAAAATGAAAATAGCATGCTAAGATGAGAGGGTCGCAGAGAAGTTACGCACTTTCAAATCGCGAAAAACGGACTGTAACACATTGACATCGAAAAGAAGATCAGTTTTTAACTTTTTTTTTAAATTATTGAAGATCTTTGAGCTCGAAATGGTTTAGGTCTACATAGTCTTGAGTGCGGATGATTTCAAAGTTCCAAAAAAAAATCAAATAAATCTTTTTTGAGTGAACTATAGGTCAGGCTTTTCCCTGAAAGTAGAAAGAACTTTAAGGAACTTAAAACCAGATTTTTGAAAAAAAAAATGTGTCAAAAACAAACATGACATGAGTCAGATTGATTGTAATATTACTTTTAAGCCCTGGGACGGTACCGTTGGCTTTGGACCAAGCCAGCTCATCGGGCGCTTCCAGCTCCCGGCAGCCCCAGATCGTCGCTTCTCCCGACGACATGCCCGGAGGATCGGGCAGATTCTTCGATCCGGTGCAACAGGTTGAGAACTTTCCTTTTGAAACAGTCCGACCCGTCTGCGCTTTCTTTTTCCCTCGCCGACTTTAGAAAAAAAGAGAGTCTTGTCGGATGCGCTATAGTCGTTTTTCGCGTGTCTGCGTCTCTCTGTTCCCTCACCACCTAGGTTAGAGAAAAAAATAGCATGGTAAAAATGAGAGGGTCGCAGAGAAGTTACGCACTTTCAAGTCAAGAAAAAAACGGACTATAACACATTGACATTGAAAAAGACGATCGGTTTTTTTGAAGTTTTTTTAAATTATTGAAGATCTTTGAGCTCGAAATGGTTTAGGTCTACATATTCTTGAGTGCTGATGATTTTCAAAATTCTAAAAAAAATCAAATAAAACTTTTTTTGTGAATTTTTAAGGTCAGGCTTTTTCCCTGAAAGTAGAAAAGAACTTTTAAGGAACTTAAAAAAAGCAGATTTTTTTGAAAAATGTGTCAAAAAAACAAACATGACATGAGTCAGATTGATTGTAATATTACTTTTAAGCCCTGGACGGTACCGTTGGCTTTGGACCAAGCCAGCTCCTCGGGCGCTTCCAGCTCCCGGCAGCCCCAGATCGTCGCTTCTCCCGACGACATGCCCGGAGGATCGGGCAGATTCTTCGATCCGGTGCAACAGGTTGAGAACTTTCCTTTTGAAACAGTCCGACCCGTCTGCGCTTTCTTTTCCCTCGCCGACTTTAGAAAAAGAGAGTCTTGTCGGATGCGCTATAGTCGTTTTCGCGTGTCTGCGTCTCTCTGTTCCCTCACCACCTAGGTTATAGAAAAAAAAATAGCATGGTAAAATGAGAGGGTCGCAGAGAAGTTACGCACTTTCAAGTCAAGAAAAACGGACTATAACACATTGACATTGAAAAGACGATCGGTTTTTGAAGTTTTTTAAATTATTGAAGATCTTTGAGCTCGAAATGGTTTAGGTCTACATATTCTTGAGTGCTGATGATTTCAAAATTCTAAAAAAATCAAATAAAACTTTTTGTGTGAATTTTAAGGTCAGGCTTTTCCCTGAAAGTAAAAAGAACTTTAAGGAACTTAAAAAGCAGATTTTTGAAAAAAAAAATGTGTCAAAAACAAACATGACATGAGTCAGATTGATTGTAATATTACTTTTAAGCCCTGGGCGGTACCGTTGGCTTTGGACCAAGCCAGCTCATCGGGCGCTTCCAGCTCCCGGCAGCCCCAGATCGTCGCTTCTCCCGACGACATGCCCGGAGGATCGGGCAGATTCTTCGATCCGGTGCAACAGGTTGAGAACTTTCCTTTTGAAACAGTCCGACCCGTCTGCGCTTTCTTTTCCCTCGCCGACTTTAGAAAAAGAGAGTCTTGTCGGATGCGCTATAGTCGTTTTCGCGTGTCTGCGTCTCTCTGTTCCCTCACCACCTAGGTTATAGAAAAATGAAAATAGCATGGTAACGTGAGAGGGTCGAAAAATCGCAAAAAACGGACTTTAACACATTGACATTGAAATTGAACATTTTTAAAATTTTTGCCGATCTTTGAGCTCGAAATGGTTTAGTCTACATATACTTGATTGCGGATGATTTCAAAGTTTCAAAAAAATCAAATAAAACTTTTTTGGGTGAACTTTAGGTCAGGCTTTTCCCTGAAAGAAGAAACTTTTTCGAAAATGTTTAACTGAGAAAAAAAATTTTTTTTATAGATGAAATATACGTGTATTTTATCAACTGTGATATCTATTGTATTCCCTATCCGGTGAAGTCACTCGTGAGGGTGACCTAAAACCGGTTCTTAACCTTATTTATTCTTTTCACTTTGTGGGTGAGTAAATTATTATTATGAACGTATGGTTTCTTGCCAGTACGTACTTTCAACACCTTGAAAAACGTTTTCTTGATAGTACGTACTTTCAACACCTTGAAAAACGTTCAAAAGCTTGAAAACTTGAAAAAATCGCGATCTTAAAAATCTCTAAATCTACAAATCTTTCCAAAATTTTGTGGTTTAGTGCTCACTTTTCAGGCGATCGCTCTGTTGCAGCCAAATGGGGGATTGTACCAGCCTGGCCCAGCAGAAGAGACAGCTCCGAATTGGAGTTTCGCCGTAAGTGTTTCGAAAAAAAATGCATTTGTCAATGACTAGAGTGGTCCCTATAAGGGTGACGTTAGGGACTCTTGGTGAATTCCCTCAAGGGCCACTTCACCAGCCCCTATAGGGGTCCCTAGAGCTTGCAAAAGTGGTATACCACCTCAAGGGGTTCCAGTTAGTGGTCCCTATATGGGCGTGCTGAACTCTGTGCAAAGAAACATTTACATGAGAAAAATTAAATAAGCGTTTTAAAAATTGAATTGAAAGACCCCTATAGGGACCACTTAAGCTTTAGGGGCTAAGGGATCGGACCCTATAACCCTATAAGGACCACCCAGATTTTACCCCTATAGGGACCACTTTTTCGGTCTAAATAGGGACTGTTTTCCCCATACCTCATAGGGACCACCTTAATTTTACCCCAATAGGGATTTTTTCCCCCCTAACCCCTATAGGGACCACTTTGGAGTTTCTTAGTGCATCATTTTACAAGGTAAACTTGGAGAGATCAGACACGTACTCTCCTCGTTCTACACGCTGTCTGAGGGCCTCTGCCGATCTCTTTTAACTTGGCATGCTATCGCACAGGTCCTTAGACAGTGTGTAGAACGAGGAGAGTACCAGACTGCTCTCTTCAAGTTCAGCGTGCTCTCTAAGTTGATGCTTTCCTAAGGAGTAAAAAAACTTTGGCTAACGTTTTAATCATCAGAAAAAAATTGAATCTTATTCTTCTCATCATTTTTTTTCAAAATGCTCTTTCAGAGGGAGTCCACACGGAACGGGTTGTTTTATTACGAACTGCCTCCCTCTGCTCAGAAGACGAAAAAGCTGGAAGGACCTGATGATCAAAGAAAAAGACGCCAGAGGGTCAGTTTTTCTCCCGTTTCTCGCACCGGGAATGAATCGAGGCGCGTGACGGCTGCGAAGCGGTTTTCTAGGCGCATTTTTGAGATTGAGGATTTAATTTTCATTCATTTTAAAACGGCGTGTTGTGGCATTTGTAGTGTTTTTACTGACGCATAGTCAAAATTACGGAACTGTGAATAAAATCACATAAATAAGCCAGAGACGTCGAACAAGAGGATACTGGTTCCCTCCAGGAGTCAAAAGAGACCGTCCGTTATTAACGTGATTGGTTCGCTCCCTAGAAGGAAAAAACCCCGTTCCTCAACGTCTCTCGCATGTTTCAAATATTTTGAGCCCCCCCGTACCACTCTAAAAGCGGTGACTCAGAAGGTGAACAAAAAAAGAATTCTCTGAGTTTTATTCTGGCAAAAGTTTCTTTTCGTGTTTCTCATAAAAAAGTGAATAGTAGTGGACGTTTTGAGAATCGAAAAACCGAAGAAAATCAAATTTTGTGCACATTTTTGAAAGGCTTTTTCTCAGTACCCTATGGCTTTGCAGTTAATTTTTTTCGGATATCTGAGACTACCTAGCGCAGAAGTTTGAAGCATATCATGGATATCACCCCGGGATGCTACCCCCTCAAACTGCGGCCTACCCCCCAAAAAAAGTGCGGCCTACCCCCCTGTCAGAATTGAGCAGCGGCCAGTCACACCACGTTTCATTCACTTTTTCTCTGCAAAATGTTTTTTTGTCGCATTTTATATTTTTTTCCTTGTATATAGCCTGTGTACCACGACTTGGAATTTCACCAAACGACATTCCGCTGTGCCGCTGCGCGCTTTAAATTTTTTTTTCTTTTATTAAGGTACTCTACTTTCATGTGCTCCCACAGCAATAACAATCAATCGAAAGCGTGACCTAGATTCAAAAGACGCTTCGCGAACGCACGCACCGGAACAGCGGAATGTCGTTCCGTGAAATTCCAAGACGTGGCACACAGACTATATTTCATGTACAGGGTTGGGCATCAATATTGCAAAATTCCGTTACTCTCAAGTGGAACGGATTCAGACAAGATTGTCTGATATTTTTTATCGGCGAAGTATCCCAGTTAGCACATATAATTCAACTTTCGCTCCGGCTTTCATTGGCCTCACTGAGCGCCTTGACTCTCTCGAAAAAGTATTCGACCCTTGGACACAGATCGATCTTGTCATCCATTCTTGATGATGGAGACCATCAGCAGGTCTCGGTTAAAATAGAGTTTCGTCCAGGCCTTCGACTTCAAATATAAATACGCAGAATTGTCAATGGGTTTGAATCTGTTGAGTAGCCGGCCCATTCCTTGACCGTGTTGAAATCGGGCAGATTGGACTCGCACTAGTCTTGCTCAGCTCGGGGCTTGCAGCTTGACCTAATATCTTGCTGGAGGAACCAGCGACGGTTCGCAAAGTGGAAAACAAAAAAAAAACAGATTGAAGTTCCATTGGCAAAAAAGAAAGTTGGGATTAGTCCGTGAAATATTTATGCCCGCCCCTGTACATATGAATCTTGATCTATTGCCCTTCACAATGCAGATTTTTTCTTTTTTTAATTTCTAAGAATTCAAAGTTTTCAGGTGAAGAAGTTCGCTTGCCTCATCTGCCAAAAACCCTATGTCGATCCCACGAGAATCGACCAACACTCGGAAAAAGCCCATAAAGTGGTCAGTTTTTTTTTATTAAAAGCAAAAAAAACGGTTTTTGGCGCGTCAGCATTGCCGGTTCATCCTCCGAAATTCTCTCTCGAAGAAAAAAGCTTTTTTTGGGCTACTCCAATTTATTTCTCAATAGAGCAGCTTCTGTTATTATTTCGTAGAGAATTTCGGATGAATCTTGAAAACTTCTGATTTTATAGGCAAAGTCGGGAAGGGTGGAAAAAGGTTCCATAGAAATGTTCCCTTTTGCTGCCTTTTTGCGCCATTTTATCGGCTTTTGTGCAACATTTTTGCTGCCTTTCCATTTTTCCATCATTTTCTGGGCCCTTAAAATTCCTGAAAAAAAATGGAAGGCTCTTTTTGCTGCCTTTCTGCGGCCTTTTTTGAGCCTCTCTTTTTTAGTGGCTATTATTCACCTTTCCGACTTTACCTTAGTAAAAAGGTTTCATATTTCTGACTTTTAATCATCCTAACTTGTTATTTTTAAGTTTTGGGAAAAAACATTGTACTGTTAGCTTCTTGCGATTTTTAATTTTCTTTTTTTCTCTGACATGTCTGCGCTCTCTCCTCCCTCAATACAGTCTGTTCGGACTTCAAATGTCAAGTCCTCACTGAAGCTCCGCCCCCTAAAGGCGCGATTAACCAATCAGAGGGCGAACCATCCACAGAGCGTTTTCGAATGACGTCATTCTACTTGACATTCAAAATCTGAACAGACTGTAGTGTGAGAGAGAAGAGAGCGCTGAGAAAGAGACGGTTTCAAGAGTTGGAATGCGCTATAGCTTATTCACGGCTAGTTTGGGACGCAAAAAGGCGGGGCCTGTCTGCGCTCTCCACTAAACAGGCTTGTCTCTCTTCTTATCATGTCAGGACCCTTTTTTCGATGGCTCAAGCCAGCCGTGAACCAACTCCACACAACATTGGAACCATCTTCGATTTAAACTTTTATTTGACGTGAATATTTTTATTCTGAATCTTCTAGACGGATCTCTCCTCGTTGCTCGGCGCTTTTTATGATAATCAAGGGATGATCAACCGCATTTCGGACGCCGTTACTCAGCAGGCGGCGACAGCAGGATTCGACAACGTGGTATGCTAGAAACCGACAGAAAATTGAATAAGTTAAAAGTAACTCGGACGACAATTTATTATAAGTTAATTAGGATAAACAAGTTTGCACATTTATAGAAGTTAGGAAGAAGTTGAGAATATCTTATCAGCGTACGATTGTTGAATGCACGAAAAGAACTTACTGTGCGAAAGATCTCGAATGAACTCGAGTCTATACGGGAACGCGAGCGAAAAAACCGCAAAAAAAAGTATAGGACGAAATAGTGCGTGAGAAATAGAGAGTTTAGAGAAGCAAAGTGAACTTTGAACCTTGAAACTTGTGATGTGAGCCGAGATAACAAGGTTTTGAAAATTTTGAAACTACCACTCTGCGCGTCAGATAAAATGTATTGTCTGTGGCTCACCGTGGTGTAGTTCTCCTTTTAAATTCATGTGGAACCTTCTAATTAGTATAATTTTTTTGAATTTTTGGAGAAAAAGCTGAGAATTTGTACCAAACGAGGATCGAAAATTGGTAAATTTGAGAGTTTCAGGCTTTGTTTTATAATTACATATAAATAAATTGTACCATGGAAATCCGGTAACGCAAACCGGACGTGCCCCGGACGCTTCTGAGATTTTGTAGGGGACAGTTAAAAGCACTGACGCCGCTAACTAGGGGTCTCAGAAACGTCCAGGGCGCGTCCGGTTTGCGTTACTGTTGCAAATTTCTCGACATCGCATTTTTTAAAACGAATATATATTTCCTACAAGTAGAATAACGCAAACTGGACGCGCCCCGGACGTTTCTGGGCTTTTGTAGGGAACACTTAAAAGCACTGACGCCGCTAAAGGGATCGCTAGGGGTCTCAGAAAAGTCCAGTGCGCGTTTGGTTTGAGAATCGTTTTTCTTAAAACGATTATATTTCCTCCAGATTGAATGTTGAAGAAATAAATCCTTGCTTCCAGGCTCCTTTGGCGTACTTACCAATCGCTCCATACCTCCCTCAAATCTTCCCTCCAAATTTTTAGATAACTGTTGATTTATTTTTCTTGTAAATTTTTTTGTTGAATTTCTTGTTATTCTTCAAACGGGTGCTTTTTCGGGTAAATTTTTGTGACGGGTACTCTCGGAAAACGGGTTGACTTCTTGGTCGATCTCTTTTTTCCGCCGGTTGTGATCATGTCTTTCGCTTTCCCCATTGCCACGGTGATTTGAGGTCTTTCATTTTTTTTTCTCTTCTTGTAAATTCTTGTAAAAATTGTTTATTTATGATTTTCCTGTTCAAATATGCACTTCATGTTAATTTTTCGGTGACTTTCACCCGAAAAATGGATTTTTTAGGCTCGTATATTTATTTTTTCCGGTGTTATTCGGATTTTTAGGCGTTTATTTTTGTTCCGATGTTTTTTATAGTTTTGAACTTGCATGAATATCTCTTAGAAAAATTTTGATTTTTTTTCCCGTTGATTTTTAGGCAAAAAATAGACTATTCTTGTTGATTTTTAGCAATCTCCCGTTATTTTTTCCTATTTTTAGAGGTAATTTCATGTTCATAGCCATTTTTTCTCCTTTTTGGTGCTTTTTCACTTTTTCCAGCTTTAATTTTTCGATCTCATTAAAATAATCTTGCCCTTTTTCACTGGTTTAAATTGTCTTTCGAGTGAATTTTGCTCAAAAAATCAAATCCCTGTGCTTTCGTTTCAATATTGCCATTTTCACTTGATTTATTTATTGCATTTGAAAAAAAAAATTTTTTCGTTTTTTTAGTTTTTTTCTTGATGAAAAAGGTATCAAATTTCAACACAGGCGAATCGTGTGGGTACCATAATGTGTCCACAAAAATACCTCTCAAAATGGGTCATGAATACCCCATAAAACCGTCTGTATATACAAAACCCGAAGTTCATCATTAATATGATAAGAGGCGTCAGATAAAATGCATTTGGTGCACTGCACCAGTGTGAAAATTTCTAGCCAAAAAGAAAAAGCTCAAAATTTTTTTTCGTATTTCCGACGTTTTTCTACATCATTCGATAGACCAGCTTTTATATTATACTGTTAACATTTCAATTTCGATGAAAAGGCTCAAAAATTTAGTTCTAAATAGGTCGCAAAAGTCATAATTTTCAGACTCTAAAGCTTCATATCTCCGTTCATTTTGAATTTTCAAAAATATTAACTGTATCAATCGATTTGTCTTAACATAAGCTTTTGAATAGTTTAGGTCTTCAAGAGTTTTGAGCTTTTCGAAAAAATATGGTTAACTTCAAAAAACCATAACTTTCTTTCTAGAAGCCCCAGAACTTTTTGACCTGCATTCACGTACTTCTGACGTCATTGCCTATCGATTGATGTAAAAATCTCGGAAACTTTGGTTTTCGGGAAAATCGAAAAAAGTGCAGTCTAACCCCTTAGCTTTTTTTCGAGCTTCTGAGATCATGGAAGCCGATCCAGACGAAACCTATATCGATCGATAGATCTCGACGAGAAAATAACCGGAGGCCAGGTTTGACCTCGGTAGGTCGACTAGGAACTAAATTAGAGGCGCTCAAACTTTGAGAAAAAATTTTAGCATGGGTCAAGTTTATCATCAATCGATAGAAGAGATCAAAAGGACCAAGAAAAACTAAGTCTCGAAGCTCTTTGGTTCCTAGGAAAAAAGTTACGATTTTTCAAAGTGTCAAAAAAAATTTTGAATGAAGCTCAATCAACTGATAACCTATATCATTAAAAAACTGACTTTGAGACAAATCGAATGATATAATCAAAAATGCTGTAGAACCTCTGAGAGTCGAGATATGAGCTTTCGAAGTTCGCTTAAAAAATTAAAATTGCGCGTCAGATAAAATGTGTTGTCTGAAGAGGCGCGTCGGGTCAAGTGCTAGTCTGAGGCTCTCATCGGTGTGGTTTCCTCGCGAAAAAGGAGAAGCTCAAAAAAAAGTTGCTTTTTTCCAAGTTTTTTCTAGTGTAACTAATAGAGCAGCTTCTGTATAGTACTGTTATTATATCAGTTCCGAGGAAAAAGCTCAAAAATTGGGTTAAAAATTGGTCCGAAAGACAATTTTTGGACTTTCAAGCTTCATAACTTTCTTCGTTCTGAAGTTTCAGAGGAAGTAATTATATCAATCGATTCGTCTTATCATAATCTTTTCAATGATATAGGACTTTAAGTGCTTTGAACAACCTGGATGACGTCATCGGCTTTCCATGCTGTCGTCTCAGCTTTTCCCAAAAGCCGGTTGATATTAAAATCGATCGATTGAGCGTTTTCAGAAGAGTCTAATGATACATTTCAATCACTGATCAATTGTCAAGAAGTCGAGTTACAAGCTGAGGCAAGTCTGAAGCTTCTGGATGAAGCTCAAATAATCAATAACCAGTATCAATCGAAAGCTGACGCTGAGACGAATCGATTGATATAATCAGTTCTTCTGAAACTCCGGAATGAACAAAATTATGAAGCTTGAATGTCCAAAAAGTGTCATTTTTTCGAAACCATTTTTACCCAGTTTTCGAGCTTTTCCTTCGGAACTGACATGATAGCAGTCCTATATAAAAGCTGCTCTATCAGTTACACTAGAAAAAACTTGAAAAAGAAAAACTTTTTTCTGAGCTTTCCCTTTTTGGCGAGAAAACCACACCGATGAGAGCCTCAGACGAGCACCTGACCCGACGCGCTACTTCAGACAACGCATTTTATCTGACGCGCAATTTTATTTTTTAAGGCGAACTTCGAAAGCTCATATCTCGACTCTCAGCGTAGCTACAGCATTTTTGAGTATATCATTCGATTCGTCTTGGTGTCAGCTTTCCAGTGATATTGATCAATTGTTCAAGCTTCATCAAAACTTTTCACTTTTGAAACTTCGAAATTTCATAACTTTAATCCTATTAACTTAGGGACTTCGAGGCCAGGTTTTTCTTGCTCGTCTTGATCCTTTTAATCGATTGATAAGCAATTCTGGAAGTCCGACCCGAAAATTTGTTCTAAGTTCCATTTCGAATCATTTCGAAACGCGTCATTCAAAACTCTCTAAAAATTCAACTTTCCAGACGATCTTATTGCAACTATAATTTCTTTGTAAAGTCTCCAATCACAAAGAAATTTCACTGAATGGAAAAAAAAACAGAGGGATGACGAAAATGAGGCAGTGGTGTGGAGCAAAAATTACAAATGTACAACTGTAGCAAATTTCGGAAAGATTAACACTTCCAACTAGCGAATTGATCATTTCCAGCTGATACATTCGAAAACCGATGCTGAGTTTAAAAAGAAATAAAATAAAGGTAAATATAATAAGTTAAGATTATCCTTGATAACGCGGCACTTCAATCAGAGGTCTGAAACGGGAGCGGTCGAGCCTTCGGAAGGCCTGAAAAATTAATATTAATGAGAAGAAATTTAAAGTAAAATTTTGAAAAACTATATAAATCTTCATGTTCGCGCAAATTCTGATTGGTAGATAATGGCCGCTGAAATTGAGAGGATCAAAAAAGGCCGCAGAGAGACAGCAAAAAGGCAAAAAAGAGTCCCTTTATCGAGCCTTTCATTTTTCCGGCATTTCAAAGGCTCAAGAAATGGTGAAAAAAGGGAGAGGCAGCAAAAAGGGTGCAAAATAGCCGATGAAATGGCGCAAAAAGACAGCAAAAATGGTGCATAATAGCCGAAATCTCGGAAAAAGGTTAGTGGCCACTATAGAGGGCTCGCCAATAACTACTTGGAGAGGACACTAAAGTGGCCACTATTTTTCGTTTCAGTGGTCACTATAGAGGTTCTCTATTTATTGCCCACTTCAGTAGTTTTTCCAGTATTCCTTCCAGTGACTCTGATAATCTTAAAACAAACAGATTGGACCAGTTATGTTGATCCATTGTCCCCTAAAGTGGCCACTAAAATTTTAGTGTTCTAGTAGTAGCACTTAGACTAGTGGCTACTAATTTTTAACCCCTTAAGTGGCCACTAATTTGACTACTATAGTGGCCATTAAACATTTTTCCTAGAAAGGCAGCAAGAATGAGCCTTTGTCACCTTAAGAGGAACATTTCTATGGGCCTTTTTCGACCCTTTCCGACTTTGCCTAAAGAAATTGTCGCTGAAACTCTGAAAAATGGCGCGTTTTGCTCTTTTTGCAAATGATATCGCCGAAATTTTTTATCACTTTTAAATGTTTCCTTTCGACTAAAATGTATTTTTGCGATTTCAAAGAGTGCAATGTTTTTTTTTTCAGACGAGAAAAATGAACCTGTTGCTCAAAAGCATCATTGTTCCCGATCCACTGATCGGTGAAAATCGCCGGGCCAGTAAAAGTGAGGGTCGCCGGACGAACTGATCTCCTTCTCATTTCTCTGCAATTCATCTTTTTTTCACATCATTTCTTCAATGAACACACTGGAGCATGTGTCGGAACGAACTATAGAAGAAATTTTTGCTTTTTTTAAACTCACAATGAAACTTTTTGAGGCATTTTTCGATTTTTTTAACGAGCTTATCCATAAATTTTTCTGTACTATTAATATTTTTTTCAATAAATATCAAAGCTACATTTTTTTGTGAAAGATGAACGTGAAAATTTGGATTTTTTTAGTCTCAAAAAAAGCATAATCCAGAGGAAAAAAAGGCTTTTTTTCTGTACTTTTTGGATGAAAGTAGGAGAATTATTTTTTCAAAATTTGGGCTGCCAATTTTGCGTTTAAAAATTTGAGACTGCCATTTTTGAGCTTTGAAAATTTGGGAGTGCCATTTTTGAATTTGGAAGAAATTTGGGACTGCCAATTTTGCGTATTTATAAAATTGGGACTGCCAATTTAGCGTTTCAAAAATTTGGGACTGCCAATTTCGCGATTTATAAATTTGGGACTGCCAATTTTGAATTCGGAAATTTAGGACTGCCAATTTTGAATTCGGAAATTTAGGACTGCCAATTTTGAATTTGGAAAAAATTTGGGACTGCCATTTTTTTGCTCTATGAGTTTGGGACTACCAATTTTTGATCTTGAAAAATTTGGGACTGCCAATTTTGAATTCGAGAATTTGGGACTGACATTTTTTTAAATTTGGAAGAAATTTGGGACTGCCAATTTTTGAATTCGAGAATTTGGGACTGACATTTTTTTAAATTTGGAAGAAATTTGGGACTGCCAATTTTGAATTTGGAAAAAAATTTGGGACTGTCATTTTTTTGCTTGAAAATTTGTGACTGCCAATTTTGCATTTTAAAAACTTGGGACTGCCAATTTGCATTTTAAAAACTTGGGACTGCCAATTTTTTACTTTATAAATTTGGGACTGCCAATTTTGAGTTCTGAAAATGTAAAACCATAGTAAATTTTTTTTTTCTCATTTTTTAAAAACCTTCCATTCATGTGTCTTATATTTTCTTTCGCATAAATTTTTTTCTCCTTCCCAATCACGATCAGAGAACATTCAAAGCCAAAAACCAAAGAATTTGGTGTAAACATTTTTTTTTCAAGTAGAGTTTAGTCCTTGAAATCAAATTTCATTGAAATTCGCGTTTTTGGTGTTTTGAGTGAGGTTCCCCACGTTTTCAAGAGGTAAATTATGTTGAGCAAAAGAAAAAAAAAAATTAAAACAGGGAATGTTCCGAAATAACAAAATTGTAAGTTCTGTGCATTTTCGAGCAAGTTAAATGGGCAAAAAGTGAAATAAAATCATTAAAATCGAGGAAAAACGTTCTGGGACACATTTTTCAAGCCATTCAGGCTCATGGAATAACCGACATGCAAATATCATTTCTGAGATTTAAGAAAAGGTTTATAAAGTTCACCTGAAACGTATCACGTTGTGGTTGACGAAAAGCGACGTTTATATACTCAATATTTTTTTTTTCTTTTGTCAATTCAAATATTTTCTGATACAATTCAAAATGATACCTGTAATTCCTGACGGGTGACTTCCAAAGTTTCGTGAATTGTTCATTTTGATAATTTTGGGACGGATAGATAATATTGACGCGTCGGGCATGATGGGGTTCCGTGGCGAGAACGTGCTGCAAAACCTGGTTCTGCAAGATTTTTCAAAAGTGTTTGATTCCAATCTTGAATAAAAAAATAAAAATTTTGAAGAGTCAGAGCATAGGCAAAATCGGAAAAGGTGGGGAAAAGGGTCCTTTTTGGTGCCCTTTTGCGCTATTTTATCGGCTCTTATGCACCATTTTTGCTCTCTCTCTTTTTTCCACCATTTCTTGGGTCTCTAAAAACCCAAAAAAAAAAATGGAAGGCTCGAAAAAGGGACCCTTTTTGCTGCCTTTTTGCGGCCTTTTTGGAGCCTCTCCCTTTTAGCGGCCATTATTCACCTTCCGACTTTGCCCGATTTTCGACAAGGCATTTCTTGAAATAGAACAAAAACTCACGAAAAAGGGACTGTATCCCGGGAGGTACCCGTAAGACTGTCTCGGAACTCTCGACACGATTTGCTCATGGGTTACTGTGGTAAGATGGCAAGACGCCAGGCCAAAAATGGTTAGCAATAGAATAAAAGACATTTTTCGACGAGTTGAATCATGACTCGACTTTTATAGACCCTTGAAATTTGAGTCGAAACCCGCAAAAAAGGGTACGCCCCCGAGTGCTGACGTCACGGCCCGTGTCGTCATCAGGAGAATTCGGCGAGAAACTGTTTTCTCGGCCCTTGATCAATGAGTTTTCGTCGACGTTCTCGAAACTTTGTTATTTTCAGAGATCGAGGACAAAGGTCTGTAGATTAGAAATACAGATAACTTGGAATTTAGTATAGTTTTTTTCTGAGATATTTTTTTGAATTCACAAAAAAATTATGTTAGTTTGGAGCTCGAAGACAAAAAAATTGTGCAACATTTTTTTAAAGGAGCATGGGCAAATTTAATAAAGGTCTCAAGGCGAAAAGCCGTTTACAGTGTTCTTTTTGGCCATGTAAAACTTTTTCTACTTCCAATCGAAATTTTAAACCAGCTGTGAATTTATTTATGAACGTGTAATTCACATATAGGAAGATTTTTGTTTTGTTGAAGGCGCACAAATCTTTAAAAAACCCCTTGTAGGGGCCGAACAAGTGGTCTCTATAGGGGTGAAATCAATGTGGCCCCTATAGGATTTTAGGGTCTGACCCTTTAGTCCCTAAAGCTTGAGCGATCTCTATAGAGATCTTTTCAGCATGTCCCCTAGAGAGGTCACCATCTAAAACCCCTACAGAGACCGCTTTTGCAAGCTTTAGTGACCCCTCTAGTGGTTAATAAAAAATTGGTCCCTAGAGGGGACCTTCCAAGGGCCCCTGCGGTTGCTCCTACAGTGACCACTTTGGAGTTCCTAAGTACTTTATATCCGGGGCTTCGTTCCAAAGCCCTTGAAAATCACTCTTTTTTAAAAACTACAATACGATTTTTTCAAATGAATTTAAAAACTGGCTCATCACAGAAAAAGATTGAAAATAAATTTGAAAATTAGAAAAAAAACAGAACTAATTATCGAAATAATAGATCTTTTCGTTAACTTTACTCTATCTGAGATGTTTTCTCCGTTTCGAATTTCTAAAATCAACAGAAAAAATCTCTTTCCCCTCTCAAGACCGTTCAGAGATCTCCCAAAGGACAAAAATCGAAAAACGAGTTTTTCCCAAACGAGATAGTAGAAAAAATACTTTTCCTTTAAATGTTATCAAGATGGGAAAGGATAGTTTGGTCGAATCTTCGTGTTTTAAGGTGTGGTTTTCGGAGCGTGTTAAAATAATGACTTGTTGGATGGCCTTTTGAAGAAATAAAAAGTGACTTTGGTAAAGTCTGTTTGAAAATATTCGTTTCTAAGGAATTCCACAGTGGTCCTTATAGGGGTTAGGGAGAAAACAGATCCTACATAGGCCGAAAAAGTGGTCCCTTTAGAGGTTTAGGGTCTCGCCCCTTAAAGCTTAAGGGGTCCCTATAGGGGTCTTTCAACTTTCATTGAAAAACGCTTATTTATTCAATTATTCGCATAGAGTACATAACAATTATCGACTAGCATGTCCCCTATAGGGGCCACTAACTAAAACCCCTATAGTGACCAGCTTTGTTGGCCCCTGTAGGGGATGGTTAAGTGGTCCCAAGGTTTCTTGCCCCTCTAGAGACCACTCTGGTGTTCCTAGGGCTGTTTAAAGGTGCAGTTATCTTCCAGGACAAAAAAACACTGAAAAACGGCTTTTCGTCTCGAGACCTTTCCGAAATTCGTCTATGATCTTGAAAAATCACAAAATGAAGTTCGAAAAAAGCCAAAAATCGAAATTTCTGGCTCTGTTTTTCTAAACTCATCAAAAGGTCATGTTAGCAGGTGGAATGGCTCATTTTGTATTGGCCGCAAGACGCGACCGACTAAAAACGACTTGCGCGTTTTAAAATCAGGCTACTAGATTCCTGATTCAAACCGCAACACTTTGAGCCATTCCAAGTGCGACCACGACCCTCATAAAACATTATATAATTCAAATTTTCAAACGAACAAGTAATTTTCACGTAAAAATCGATACCAACATCGAAATACTTTTTAAACAACGAATAATAAATAATTTTTATTTTCATTCTTACGAAAAATATCACAGTTTCAATGATATAAAAAATCAATTTCGATGGTCAAAGGCGAGAAAAGCAAGGAAAATTTTTGAAGACCCGTGGCAATAATTTAGTATCCGTGTTAGTCATATCAATATAAATACATCAATTTTGTGAAAAAAATTGAGAAAAAAATGACAGGAAATTTTTTTAAGATTTTGAAAAAAAGTTCATTCAAGGATAGCTTGTTAAGGTCAAGAAAAATCAAAAAAATCATTTTTCCTTGTCATTTTTCTTCAAATTCACAAAATAATCATCACAATAGGGTCTCATCATTGTGGAAAGAAAGCTGGGAGACGGATTTCATTGGCGGCGGCGATTGGAGTGAATCTGCGGCTTCGGGGTTCGTGAAAGTGTTCACCAACTGAAAAAAGGACATTTTTAAAAAGTCTTCGAATCAAACACGGCGTTCCCAAACGGGGTGGCAAGACGTCAAAAAAATTTTGGCGCGAAATTTGAAATCTACAGTACTTCAGCCGAAGGCGATCGAACAAACAAGTTATTAACGTTGAATATTCAGTGTAATTGTGACGTAATTTTATCCGTAGCGCGCACTAAATTTTTTCTGTAAATTCAGAAACTTTGACGCCTCGCTCACCTTCCCTCACCCCCATTAGGAATGCCGTGCTAAATCGCCAAAAAAAAACGACGCCGCGCCCAAAATTTTCGCGTAAAGTGTTGTGTGTCGTGTGCATGCACCGCGGCGCTTTCGCACATGCCGTATTCAAAGAATTTTTTCGCAAAATGCAAAGATTCTTATTAATTTCTGGCGGTTATTTTTCGGAGGTTTTGACTCCGTTTCATTTTTGGTTTCGAATTTTCTTCCAAATCGCCAAAAAAGGTTCAAAAAATACCTTTTCTTCAGAAATCTCATCCTTCCTCACTTCACCGTTCTTTTTCAGTGATTTTTCGAAGGCTTTCTGCGGCGGGATGCCTCTGAAATGTTTCGTATTATTCAGGAAAACAGAAATAGAGATAAATTGAAGAAATTACAGTACTAAAAAGGACATCTTGGGGTTGGGAGTTGCGTCGACTAAAATTGCGTCGACGACTCGCTTATCGTTTCAGGATCACTTTTTTGGATTTTTTCTGGCTCTCACACTTTTGACCATACATGGGCACACCATTTTTGAAGAACCCCTCATCCCAAGTTTTTTTTTCTGAATTAAACTTGATACTACCTCTCTGAGGCTAGAAAATGCATTATTGTGGCCAAACGACCGCCCCGAGGTGGAAACTTGATTTTATTTCTTATCATCACAATTTTTATAAGCCAACCCCTCCTTGTAAGCCAACCAAGCCGAAAATTTTTCCGATCAAAATCATCTTTTTTCAATTTTTTTTAAGTAGTGAACTTTGAGAAAAGAGTTACATTTTTTTTTGGTAACCCCACCGTAACCCTAAAAAGGGGCGGAGCTTCTTAAAAACCTATGTAAAATTTTCAAGATCTTGTGTAGTTATTGTGAGCACAATATGAGCTCAGAAAACTCAATCTGAAATTTTGGTATCAACGGTTTCTTTTCTGGGAGAACGAATGTTAACTGATATTAATGAGTAAATCGCATGTTTAAAGTTCAAGTTCTTAAAAAATTCAGGGCCTTTTAGACAGAAGAAATGGGAAGGAAGAATATACATTTTTGGAGATTCTTCGCATTTTTCAAACTTTGAAACTCAAAAAATGTTTCGAAATCGATTTTTCTCAATGAAAGCCGACCTGATAGCGGTTCGAATCTGAGAGCTCGCCTCATCGGTCAGCGATCGGAATCTTCTCCTCTGATCAGCTACTATTCGCGCGTGTGCTGACCGGATCCCTGAAAAGCATCTTTTATTACTGTGTAGTTTTTTAATTCTACCTCGATTCAACAAGGTGAAGATGAGCGGATAGGCGACGCAACTGACGTACGGTAATAGGTGGATGAAATATGAGATGATGATCACTAAAAAAAGAGATTATAGTTTACCGAGGACGGAATTGAGATATAGTCCGTCCGCCGCGACTTGAAATTTTTCGCGTGTCTGCGTCTCTCTGTTCCCTCACCGGCGAGGTCAGAGGAGTATGGAAATAGCACGAGAGACTTCGAGAGATAAGGAGGGCGCAGAGAAATCCGCCTTTCAAGTCGCAAACAACGGACCGCAGTCTGAAGAGACGGCAGAGATAACAGAAACGCTCTCGCTGTCTGGCGTCTCTTCGAGCCTCAGTTGATCTCTCTCTTTTCGATTCTTGTTCCAAACTTTACAAAAACGTGCGAGAGGTCAATGGCGGTCTGAAGAGACGCTAGAGAAAGAGAAAAGCTCTGAGTTCCTGGCGTCTCTTCATTAATCAAAATCGGAGAGACACTTGTCCCATTTCTGGCGTCTCTTCATGATCACACTGATCTTCGTTTTTTCTTCTGATTATCATATTTTTGATATTTATCGACCGTTTTATCACAATACCGTAAAAACCAACTATTTTTCTGTCCCATGGCCAATATCCGATGGGCGAACATCGAGACCCAATAAGGCGTCCAGCAGACGACGTAAATCGCAGTCAGGAGGAAAACTGTTGTGATAACTTTCCGCAGAGCCGTGTCCATTGAACTAAAAAAAGATCTATCGGAAGAAAATTACTTGAAAACTCACTTTGATGTTACAAGGCTGTTGAGGGCTCGCCTTTTCAGGAAAAACGGTACCGAGACGTACCAATAAATGATTCCGAACAACGGAACGGCGTAGGAAATCGTGCAGGCAATCAAATTGAACCAGAACTCGATTTCTGCAAAGAAACATTATAACTCACCAAAACTTCAAACTTATCAGAAAATTATTTCTTACAACTCTAATGAAAACTATTAAAAATTCAAGTTCATGATCGCTGATTCACGGCCGGCTTGAGCCATCGAAAAACGGGTCCTGACACGATAAAAAGGAGAGGGTGCCTAGTTGGCAGAGGGCGCAGACAAGTCACATCTCTCAGCGTCCCAAGCTGGCCGTGAATCGACTATAGTTTTTGAATAATCGATGAAATGCTTCAAATTGAATAAAAAATAAACTCACTAGGCGGCGGGAAAAATCCGCACTTTCGAATCACCATCACTTCCATTGTTGTTGAATTTGGGTTCATATGAAAGGTGAACACCTGGAAAAGGTCATTTACTTTGGATCGATCGAAATTTAAAGGAATTTAATCATAAAATGACTCAAATATCAGAATACCGGAAACAGATACACAAAAAAAGATGAAAATAATTTTTTTGTTTTTGTTTTTTTGAGCCCTTCTGTTAGATATTTTAGAAAATCTCAAGCTCTGAGTATTATTTAGAACTCAATAATAGATAAGCAAAAATTTCCTCTGAACGTAAAAAAATGAAAAAAGATGAATACTTATGATGTAAATGACAATTTTCAGTCGAAAAAAGATTTTTTTAATAATCAAAACATATTTGAGAGAAATATTACCTGGGAATAAGCAAAAAAACCGGCCACAAAAAGGACCAAAAACGCAGCCCAAGGCGACGATGACTTGCATCGCGGCAAACTGAATAAATTTCTTTTTTATTAAATTTTTTTCCTGGAAAAAACCTTCAAACTGGCCGCTTTTTCGCCCCTCCGTTTGTCCAAACATACTGTAGTGTAGCAAGTTCGACTGATCAGAAATACAATGATCGGGGCGACGAATCTAAACCAAATAAATAATCAAAAATTATGAAAAAAATTTGGAACAGAGCTGAAAAAAACCAACAGGAAAAAAATTTGCTTTCATTGATTTTTCAGGCGAATTTATTAATAAAACAATACATCAGCCGTTATCGACTGAAAAAAAATCCTAGAAAAAAACACGAAAAGATTGAGAATAACATTTATGCCGTGTTCAAAGTAATTTCCGCGAAATGCGAAATTGTCTCTGACCCTCCAAAATTTAGTTATCTTTCTCTTTCTCTGACGGCTATTTTGAATTTCGCGGAATCACTTTGAACACGGCATTAAACTTGCATTTTGTGGTTTTATCGCTATTTTTTGAGCGAATTGCTTCCAAATTACTCTCAAAATTTCAGAAATGGCCATTTCTTATCAAAAAATTACGACAATTAATCAAAAAAAGCTAACCACAATGAGAAAAAAACCGAAAAATAGAAAATGTTACGTAGAATACGAATTTCAAGCCATACATTTTTATTTACCCCGTCCACGGTTAATAAATTATCGCATCATTGCAAAAAAATCTTTTTTTTTTAAATGATAATGATGCCGTGTTCAAAGTGATTCCGCGAAATTCAAAATAGCCGTCAGAGAAAGAGAAAGATAACTGAATTTTGGAGGGTCAGAGACCATTTCGCATTTGGCGGAAATTACTTTGAACACGGCATGGACAAATACAAAAAACAAGCAAAAACCCATTTTCGAAAGTTTCGAAAATATTTCTTCCTGTAGATTTACGAGAGTATGCATTCGACTCGACGCACATTTGCGACGCGACGCGCAAAACTATTTTTAGAAAAATATCCTTTTTCCCTAATTGATGCTTATATTCTATTTTAAAAAATTATACGAACTTGTTCATTGAATCAAAAAGAAGGTAGGAAGTGCAGACAAGTGACGAAAATCGCCACGTGCCGAAAACTAGCTCGATGATGAGAAGAGACATGGCTGAAAATGAGAAAACTTGAATTTTTCTAATTTATTTTGCTTTAAATACGTAATCTTCATGGAAAAAAGATACTGAACGTTTTTTTGATTCACAAAAAATAAAGAAAAGCTAGAATCTCACTACTTTTGAGCTCAAAGATCTTTTCAAAGGTCCAAAAACTGATTTTTCTCGATTTGCGATTAAATTGCCCCCTGTAATTTATTTTTTTCAAACCATTGAATTTCCTGAAAAAAAAAGACGAAACCCACCAAACATGGTCATCAAATCGCTCACGCACAGGGTAAAAATGAAGAAAAGGATGCTTTTTGGGACCTGAAATTGGAAAATTTTGTTTTTTCTTTGTAAACCGCGTCGCGTGAGCTGTGCGTCGCGGTTCTCACGATCTTACCTTGATGGCCGGGGCGAATAAAAGTGGCGCCACGACGTAAAGAACCCAAGAATTGATGGCGAAGCCGACAATGTTGAACCCAATGTAGGTGGAGGCGACGTACGTGCGGTAGCCCTCAAATTGACGGGTTGGTTGAGTGGCTAAGCGTCGGGTTGATAGTTAAATGACTTGTTGGTTCGGGTCCCAAGACTGTTATCCGAGTTTAAAACTCATTATGGTTCATACAAACTCATTTTTGAAGTTCCAATTTAAGTTCCAATCTCTTTTTCAAACATATTTTTCAATTTTTTTGGTTTTTTCAATAGCCCACCTTTACAATCCCACCAGAAAAGCTCACATCACTTTCTGGCCAATTTCCCACGTCCCCTATTTTAGCTGCCAAACCAAAAATCATCGCCATCAATTATTCAAACCGAAAATCGGACCGATTTATTTAATTATTCGCTCGGAAACCTTGCTTTGGGTTTTTTTTTATTCGGCTTGTTTTTGTCCCATTACTTCGCAGAAAAGAAATAAATTATTCGAATGAATTTTTGCTACATTCCAGAAAATTTCAAAGGTCATTTATACATTTTTATTGGTTTTTATGGAGCTCAACCCTTGATTTTCGTAAAATTTCGAAGTTTCTATCCACTCTATAGAAAACTTCCCGTTTTTCCTCAAGTTATTCTCAATATGAGAGCCCATGACTGCACTTGGAATGGCTCAATTGAAAAGAGTAAGCTTTAAAACGCATCCGACCCGAAACTACTTCCGCCCAATGGTATAATTCAGCCTTAAATGAAGCAAGGAAAATTTGAGTTCGCTTCCAAACGCGACCGCGACTCTTTGAGCCATTCCCAGTGCGACCACGAACTGATAAGTGCTTCAATAAAGAAAGTAGCTACAAATTTTGAAGTTTTCCTGAACTCCCACATTTTTATACATCTTCCAGGTCTCTGAAATCATTGTGAAACCCAAAAATAACCATTTCATTTCTCGATCAAAAGTCCAATATTCTATTCACTATCCGGACCAACCAATCCCTTTCTCGATAAAATCCCACAAGTCACTTATAAATTCTTTCCCTTTTCAATAAAAATAGTTTCTTTCCTTGGTGTCTGGAGGGTTTCGTATCAATAATAAACTAGTTCAATTTTCCCACGCGAGAAGTTCCGCTTTATGTTTCTAGAAATTTCTAGGTTGCTTGGAGAAATCGCGGTCGCATTGGGAATGGTTCAACGCGTTGCGGTCGCGGCGCGGCTCGATTGGAAAAATTCACATAGGTAATTCTGAATGAAAATCGGTTCACTCAACCCAGTTTTTCAGGCCGAATGCAAATTTTTGCTCAAAAATGTCTGGGAAGCCTGTAAAAAAAAGTTATGACCCTTCAAGGTTGAAAAAGACCACAGCCACGACTTCGACAAAAAAAAATATTTGCTTGCTCTTAAGTCAAATTTCGGAATCAGCTAGGAAAACTGACATGAAAGGTCATTAGGTTTTGGAGTTTTCTGTAAATTTGCTCAAATAATCTTTGATGACTGGGAATCGATCCCCCATTGTCGCTATCGGCGCAAACTTTTCGTTTTGGATATATGATTTTTTTAAAGTTTTTGTTCTTGAACACGTGAGACCGTTCAGAAGGAATTTGTGCGCGCCACCAGCCATTGCACGACAGCTAGGGGCGTAGTGCAGTGGCTAGCGCAATAGCCTGCGAAGCCTATGATGCAAGTTCGAATCTTTTCGCGGCTATCGATTTTTGCCATTATTTTTTCTTACGGATTATGATGAAAATGTCGAAATATCATGACTTGACTCTTGTTTAGAAGATCCCATTTAGCTTTAAAAAAAAACGCGCAAGTCGTTTCAAAGTCGGATGCGCTTTTAAAGCAACAGCAAGTGTAATGGATCAAGTTATTGACAAAAACAAGGATGACAAGAAATAAATTATAAATCAGTCTTTAGTCGAATAAGTTATTGCGGATCTCGACTAACACGACAACAATCAAATATTTTGTGCTCTTGGAAATAACATCTTGAGATTACTGTGGCCTTCTGAATACTCACCAGCATACTGTAGGAGAAGATGAATCGGTATTCAGGAGATTCACGATTTCTAGGATTATTTAGATTATAATCGAATATTTCGTGGGTTACGGTGTGTGTAAACGAAATTTGAAGGTGGGTTACTGTATAAGGTGGGACGATACTGGGAAAATTTTTAGTGACCACTATAGAGGCTCGCCAAGAACACTAAAGTGGTCACTAAACCCAAATATATAGCGGCTACTATTTTCCGTTTTAGTGGCCACTTCAGTAGTTTTTCATCCAGTATTACTTCCAGTAACTCTGATAATTTTAAACCAAACAGATTGGATAAGTTATGTTGATTCATTGAACCCTAAAGTGGCCACTAAAAGTTTTATTGGTCTAGTAGTAGCACTTAGACCTCTATAGTGGTCACTAATTTTTAACTCCTTAGGTGGCCACTAATTTGACTACTATAGTGGCCACTAAAACGTCGAAACCCTATAGTGGCCACTAAAAAATTTTCCAGTAGATCGAAAATAAGATTTTGATTACTGTAGCTAATAAGTCTCAATTAACTCCAGGAAAAATTTCAAGCTATATAAGTTCAAATGAATTTTTTTTGAAGCATTAAAGAGTTAGAGGCTTGATTTATCTACAAGAAAATTTTTGTTTCTCTGAAAATTTCTCTCAACTTTTCCAATGATTCTTCCCTATACAGTAACCCAAAATATTGACAAAAATGTCTCTACAAAAATTTCTCAATGAAAAGAAAAAGTCGATGACTCGAGAAAAAAGGAGAATAAAAAAGAAAATGAGAATAAATGCGGGGCTATGCCCGAGGTGGTCAATTCTAGAATATTCACGGAAAAGAGGCAAGTCTATATATTTTCAATAAAAAGGCGTGAGATGATGCAACGGCTGAAAAAATGGGAGGAAATGTGCTCCAATGAAGAGAAAAAGGGCTTTTTTCTGTTTCTTTCGTCATGATTTGAAAATTCTAATTTGTCCTTAGGAACCCTAGAAAGGTCCCTACAGGGACCAGGGAGAAAACAACCCACGTAGGGGACACCAAAGTGCTCCCAAAAGGGGTTATCGAGATTTTAATGGAAATGCTTCTTCTAAAAAAGATGGCTGTCCTATAGGGGTCTTTTTGGAAGCTTGAGTGGACCCTATAGGGAAGGTAAAGTGATCACTAGAGGGAAATCTCGAAGTGCACCTAAGGTGACCCCTATAGGGACCACTCTGTCGTTTCTACGTCCGCGTGAAAAAAAATGGCTGTCTTAATATTTTTGAGCTCAAAATCAGTAGTCCCAAATTTTCTCACCAGCCAAAAAAGGTCAGAAAAATCCTCGTTCCCAAAAAAAAACTTTCAATTTTTGAGCTTCCAGAATTGCTTCTAAAAAGAAAAATTCCTTAAAGTTAAATTTTTAACTTCGCTATAAAAATGAAACCTCTGCCGAAGGGAAAAGATCGGTAAAGCCGCAGAAAAAAAGAGGGCGTGGCAGAAAAAAAGTGAAGGTTGAGTTCTTTTTTTCTATTTGAAGAGGACTCGAAAAAGAGATTTGCTTCTGCTTGAACTAAAAAAAAACTTTCGAATTAGATTTTCTCGTTTGAGGCTTGGGATTCGTCAGGTTTAGTTTTTTTGGTCAGTGAACTTTTGGAAACGGAATAAAAAAAGTTTTTTTATTTGTGTTCTTTTTGAACAAGTGTTAAAAAAATTCAAAATTTTGAGGTTTTTTTAAGGCCAGAAAAAAATAAATGAATCAGCCGTTTTTTTCTCACATTATTTTTGAATTATTTAGCTTTAGAAAGTCCCAAAAATGATTAAAACAAGCCCGGTGAGCTCAAAAACTGATCAGACGCTGCTGTTTTTTCTCCCCTTACTCCAAAATGTGCCAGAAAACGGCTCAAAAATTTGAAAACATCCTTTTCTCAATGGAGCGCACAAGCCTTCACTTCGCGGTTTTTTTTCCAGGTCGAAAAATAAGTGAAAACTAAATAAATATCAATGAGAAAACTTCAAATCAAACTCCCTATCCAATTTCCAAAAATATCCTTTTCTCAATGGAGCGCACAAGCCTTCACTTGACGGCTGTTTTTTCCAGAACCTTTCTGATCAAAAAATAATGAAAACTAGATAAAAATCGATGAAAAAGCAAGCTTCTCATGCAATCTCCAAAATTATTCTCTTCTCAATAGAGCGCACAAACCTTCACTTCACGGCTGTTTTTTCTAAGTTGAAAAACTAGCAAAAACTGAATAAAAATCAATGAAAAAGGGTCCGAAACTCCTCATTCAATCTCCAAAAATATCCTATTCTCAATGGAGCGCACAAGCCTTCACTTCACGGCTGTTTTTTCCAGAACCTTTCTGATGGAAAAACTAGTGAAAACTGAATAAAAATCAATGAAAAAGCTCCAAAACACGCTTCTCAATAGAGCGCACAAGCCTTCACTTCACGGCTGTTTTTTCTAAGTTGAAAAACTAGCAAAAACTGAATAAAAATCAATGAAAAAGGGTCCGAAACTCCTCATTCAATCTCCAAAAATATCCTATTCTCAATGGAGCGCACAAGCCTTCACTTCGCGGCTATATTATTTTTATATATATATATTAGGGATTTTTTTCCGGAACCTTTCTGTTCAAAAAAACATTCGAAACTAAGGAAAAAAATCAATGAAAAAGGTCCAAAACAAGCTTCTCATGCAATCTCCAAACATGTCGGCTCCAAAAGGGAGAGGAGAAGATAATAATATTTTTCAAGCAATTTGCATAATTAAGTGTGAAATGCGCGGGGCGTCGGATTTTCGCGTTGTTTTTCGCTGGATATTCCTTTTTTTTTCGCTTTTAGGGCTCAAAATAAATGATTCATAAAGGCATTTTGCGGGGAAAATAGAGCGATTTCGACGGGGCGGCGACCTTTTGACGTTTTTGTTTTCCTTTTTTTGTTCTGCACGCTAATTGTGGCTGATTTGGGCAAGAAGATTCATTCCGTGGTTGCACTTTTCTGAAGGAAAACAAGAAGGAATGGGAAAAAGTGGATTTTCAGGGGAAAATAGCTTTGAAAAAAATTTACACTATTCAGCGATATATTTTATCATTTTTTAATTCATTTTCAAAATTTTCAGGTCGACAAAGAGTGTAATTTCCTAAGGAAATAGGTGGGGGGGGAATGAAAAATTTGTATTTTTATCGAGAAAAAAGATTTTCCGAAGCAATCGTGTTCCTTTCTCCCTTCAATAACTAAGCTTGAAACCCCTTGGCCGCACTTGGAATGGCTCTAAGCGACGCGGCCGCGTCACGGTTAATTACAACCCTGTAAAACGTGTCCAACGCTTTCTGATACCTCCTCGCGTAAGTCGTTTCCGGTCAGACGCGCTTCGAAGCAACCGCGACGCTTTTTGAGACGATCCAAATGCGGCCAAGTCATGTGGAACTTTTTTTGTAAAAAAATATTCTTCTTATTATTTAAAAATTTCCCTTCGCAATATTCTTTCTCGGCCAAATCTCGAGAAGGAAATTGGAAACTATTTTTTTCGCTACTAAAAATATTTTTTTCTCAACTTTCTCACTGAAAAGTTCAGTTTTCCAACACTCGTCATGGAAGAATCACAAACCGATGAACTTTATTAACTTCCCCGGATATCTATGGGCCAAAAAAAGCACCTGTCCAACCTTTTTTATAGAATAATTTCTGAAATCAACTTTTTGAAGGAAACCTAGTCTTTTGATCGGAAATCAAAAATGGAAACTGATAACATAATTCAGAAGAATAGACTATTCACTTTGGGAACGTGTGCTCCATGGAAAAAAATCTCCTTTCAAAAAGGACAAAATTCCGAAACTTGGGTCTTTTCGAGATCAGAAATCCAACACAAAAATAGACAACATAACTCCAAAAAATAGGCTATTTACTTTGGGAACGTGGGCTCCATGGACAAAAATTCGAACTTTCATCTCCAAAACTTGGGTCTGTTCCAAAAATACTTAGAACTTTCGAAAATCGGAAAAAGTTCATTCAAAAAAGGGTCCCAGGGGAGAAAAACGTTCACATTTTTTTCTGAATTCAAATTCCCCCTGAACATTGGAGTCTATAAAACCCCAATATCATGATAACCCAAAAAGGGACATTTTTATCTTAATCATTGCGCGAAATATACCGTTAACAATCAATTTTTTTCGTGTAGAAGAGCCCGAAATTCCCTATCCCCCACAGGTTCGGGATAAAAATTTCCTTAAAAACTTTGAAAAAAAAGTCAAAAAATACTTCAAATAACTTGAAAAAAGACATTTTTATCAAAAAAAAAATCGAGCTTTACCTGCAACAAAAACCCCTTAAAAATCAATTTTTCCTCATATCTAAACTGAACTTTTACCCATAAAACCTTAATTTCCCAGATTACCAGCCCCAAAACCGCAAATAACTGTACGTTCCCCACTAGAATTTCAAACCAAAAGCTTTTTTGAAACATTGAAAAATCAAAAATCACAAAAAAAGGGCACCTGAAACGGGACCTGCCGCTCAATCTTCGTCCAGCCCTCGTAGTCTTTTGTCATGTCCGTGTCCATTTTTCCCGCCGATTTCTTCTTTTTTGGTCTCTTCTTCTGTTCAACGCCGTCCTCCTGGGATAAATTCATCATAGGATAGAGTCAATGATCGGAATAAACGAGCGAAAACGAAGAAAAAGGCAAAAAAATTTTGATTGAAGAGTTGATGCGCAGCGAAATTGAGATGATAGAAACAGGGATACGGAGTCTTACTCGATGTGTAGCAAAATTCAAACGTTGAAAAATAAGAAAAGTACAAAAAAACCAAAAATAAAAAAAAATTTTCTGATGAGCAGCCAATTTGAAACCACACAAATGGATACGGAGCTGAAAAAAATGTGGTTCCCAATTTTTTTTAACGAGGCTAGTCTTCAAGGACACTAATTGTAGAAAGAAAAAATCAAAAAATGAGTTAAAAAGGTAATTTCGTCCCAAAACCGCAACCTTCTCAATCAAAAATCACATTTCGTCAGTTTTTTCAAGTCAACGTTAGCCAATAGCAGATGTTTTAAGTGGCTAAAGTTCTTAGGAACTTTCAAAAAGTAGAGAAATTGATATCAGAAATGAATTTAGTTCAATTTTTTTCAGTTGAAAAAAAGCGATGGAAATAAAAAAATTTTCGAGATTTTTTTGAACTCAACTTTGTAAATCATAACATGCAGGCTTGAAACGTTGATTTTTTTATTTTTTTGAAGTGTTATGAAATTATTTTTTTAATGACATTTATACGAAAATTACAATTTTAGAATAGAAAAAGACCTTCTTAAAAAAATGAAAAAAATTTAAGAAAAAAATTTTTTTCAAATGAAATATTTTATAAATTTTTAATTAAAAAGCCACAAAACTATCACTTCAAAGCTTTCGATAGAAACAAAAAAATTGATAAAAAAAGAAGTTTCAATTTCACTTTTTTTAAAAATCCAAGTTTTTTTCAGGAAGTTCAACTCCGAAAAAAACTCATAATCGTTATGAATTCCCAGAAAAAAAGGGCGAAAATTCGCAATAAGCCTCCGAATAAAAACACACACTTTCGCTGTTCAAATAGAAGCAGTTTATCGATTTTCGAAAAGAGAGAGATTTGTGTCAAAAAAACAATAAAAAGTTCGGGAAATTTTTTGTTTTGACCAAACTTACCTGAGAAGCCATCAATCAAAGGTAACTATTTTTGACTTTTTCCTTGATTTCTTTGAAAAAAATATTTTTTTCCAAAAGAACAGCGCCAAATTTTTTTAAAAAAATTGACGTGAAAAAGCTTCCCCAATGTCAAATTATCACTTAAAAAAAATAGATGAAACAAAAAAATCCAATTAAGATTTTTAAAACTTCATAATGAATGAAAAAAACGTGACGAATTTTTGAAAAAAAGCTCTTTCAAATTTTTTTATTTCATCAACTTCTTTGAATTTACAGGATTTTCCACCTTTTAAAAGATTTTTTTCGTGAAAATTTTCCTAAAAATTCAACATCGTTTTCTATTTTTCAAACTAAAAATTCGCACTTTTCAAAATTCTCAAGCTCAAATCTCGACAAAAAGCTTAATTTTTGAAGCATCAACTGTTTTCTCAACACAACTAACACTGATACTACACGATTATGACCGAAAAAAAGCTTTTAATACAGAAAAACAAGCGAAAATCCTCTTTTCTGATATGAAAATGTGGGAAAAATGATCGCCAAGTGCAAATCCTTTGCTCAAAACACCAAAAAAAAAACGGAAAATTTTCTTTTTTCCGCCAATTTTCTTCGAAAACCTATCATTATCCCTACGAAATCACGAGAAGCGAACATGTAATTTTCTCTCAAGACACATAAATCTATTGGAAATGGCAAAATCTTCGAAAAAAGGTTAGTTTTCGCGTCGAAAAGTTCAATTACGAGAGAGGAAACCGATCTGTGAAGCCTGTGATTAAACTGAACTGTTATCGAAGGTGATTATTATTATTTCAAGTACAAAGGTCGAGACATTGTACTTAAAATCATCAAAAACCAAACTAAACACTTTGAATTAAAAAATAAGGAAAAATTTGAAAAAAAAATTTATTTGCGCGTATGTAAAAGTTTGGTACGTGAGCACATCCGCTTGCGTACTTTACACCTACAGTAATCAAAAATGCGAAATATTGCATTTTAGCTAATTAACTCTATCCACTCAGTTCTTTAAATCTTGTTAGAAGTCTTTGAAGACACATGGGTTTCTCCTAACCTGAAAAAAAAACCTGTAAAACGGCTCTTCGCCTCGAGACCTCTGGCCATGTTCCTTTAAAAGTCCAGATAGCAACATACTAGAGCACAAAAAAATCTAGTGCAAAAAAAGAAAGAAAAAAGAGGGCATTTCTTTGGGGGGCACTACGAAGAAGCAGAAGAAGAAGAAGAAGGTGGGGGACGAAAGTGGCGGAATCGCCGCCGGCCATGTTCTTTCTTGTGCTTCCGCCTATCACACAGAGAGTTTCGCACGCAATTATTATGGGAAACCAACAGCGGCGAGGCCGAAAAGCAAAAGTCACGGCGGAAGAGGAAAATTTGGATTCGGACACGTGCGTCAGTTCTAATTATAAAAATTGTACTTCTTTGAAGTTTTTTGAATTTAGCCACCAATTTGAAAAATTCTGGCCGTATTTATATTAGCAGAGCTTCCTGAGGTAAAACCACATCTTGAAAAAAAACCAAACCACATCTTGATATATCTGAAGATTTTTGCGAGTAAATCCATTTTCCTGGACTCAGTAAGATTAGTGCTTGCCCGAGTATGTGGCCGTATGAAGAATGGCTCAAAACTAGTTTGCAACCGACCAGAAACGACTTGCGCGCGGCAGCATCCTGTAGCGCAGAAAGTCGCTCAAGGTCGGGCTCAGAATATGACGCTCTGAGCTATTTTTGCGCGTTTTCATGGATTTTCCTTCATTCGCCACGAGTGTAAAACTCTGTCCTGTCTGTGCTCTCTTTCTCTCTCACCGGAAAGGTCACAGAAATGCAAAAATAGCATGAGAACATGAGAGTACTTCCAAAAAATCGAGTATTTTTGGACTAAGTCCTCGGGAGGTTACTCAAAATTTTAGATTCTCTGAAAATCAGCCTGAAATCTTCTTAATGTATTTGATAAAGATTCTAAAAGTCTCCATCTACCAAAATTCAGCTTTCCAAAACTTTCCAAAAGCAAAAACCATGCTTCATAAAATCAATGGAATCTATTAAAATAGGTCTTTTTTTGATTTTTAAGCATTCTTTTCCTCAAATTAATCTTGTTAATTCAGGTTGAGAATCTCAAGATTTTTTTACCTAGTACATTACAGAGTGTTTAAGCCAATTCCCAAGAAATTGCTAGTAAAATGACCCCCTAGTGAATGAAGGGAAGGATACAATGAGACACTGGAAAAAAGCCAAGCTTAATCCTAGTAACTACACTATTTCTTCTCAATAAAAGTATGGAAACCTCAAAATAATGATATCTTACTATAGAAATGACAAACATGGCGTAATGAAAAAATAATAAAAGAATGGATAAAGATTAAAAATGACATTTTCAAACAGATAGTTGGCACAAGGCGGATGGACCAGTTTTTTTGAGATTTCGCAAAATTCATCCCTGATTCGATGGCTCAAGAAATCGAAAAAAATCAAATTTTTCGGAGCTGTCTTGGGGCCGAAAAATCCACATTTTTTTGAAAGAATTATATTTTTTTAAAAAAAGCTGGAATGATCCGAAAAAAATTATTCAAGTCTCAGAAACCTATTTAACCCCTGGATAGCTGAAAAAATTGAATATTTTCAATGGAGCGCAACAAACCGATTTTTCGAGGCGGTTCTTTCAAAACCTTTTCTGATGCAATCTAGCCCGTTATATAGAAAAAACGAACCAAGAATTAAAAAGCTTTTTCTAAAAATTGAAAAAAACCATCAGTTTACTAGAATCGTAATATTCCCTTTCGAAAAACGGAGCGCGAAAAAACAACCAATTTACAAAAGGAAGACCAGAAAAACAGGGGCAATTTGGAAGAGCACAGGATTCAATAAATCAAACTTCTCTTGGAAATTAAAAAGCCGAAGTGATTCCTCGTTTATTAAAAAATGCCGTGGTGGCTCCAAAAAAACACCTAATTAACTTTTCCTCGTGTTCGGCAAAGCATGGCCAATTTACGTTATAATGTTATACATCTATCCGATTTCTGAAAACAGAACCGATACCAAAAACAGAAAACAACTCATTAACTTGAAAATTTTCGGGTTATTTCATACTTTTTTTCTGACCCTTTTTACAATGAAAATTTGAAAAAAATCAGACAATTTTAAGGATAAAAATGCTAAGGAAAAAAATTATTTTTTTCAAGTTTTCAACTTTTAATTGATCTCGAAAGGATAAGAAGATCTATCAAAGTATGAAACTAAACTAGAAAAATGAAAATTAATCGATAAATTCTCAATATTTTATAGTATATTCCTTCGGCCCATTTCAGCGGTTGGTTTTTTCATCGCCCGACCTGAAACTACTTGCGCGCGGCAGTATCACTTAATCTAGAAGGTGTGCCGAGGAACGCCAGATTGACCCTTTCAGGGGTTAGGAGAACTACAGTCCTTATAGGGAAAAAAGAGCCTCTATGAACGTGAACTTTAAGTGGTCACTATAGTGGTTAGGGATGGACTTCTGAGCCCCTAAGCTCAAGTGGTCCTTACAGGGTTTTTTTTCGTTCAGGGGGCCACTTTTGCAAAAACTAGTGGCCCCTAAAGGGGGAGACAAAGTGGTCCCTAGAGAGGAACCTTGAAAACTCTCTAGAACTACTCTGGAGTTCCTAAAGAAAATTTCAACACTCTGCAACTAAAAAAAACCGAAAATAATCACGGAGTAATGATGTAAAAGTGTGTGGGAGTGGGAAGGGGGGAAGAAGCTCAAATAACGGTTCCAAATAAGGGGTTGCCGTGGCGCCAATGACGTAGCTACAACATCAAATACAACATCCTTTCAAGCGAGGAAAAAAAACAGCTTCAAATATCCTTCTTGGCTTTGAAAGGAAACGAAAGCTTCCGTCTTTTTCAATAGAAAAAACCCGAGAAGAAGATGATATTTCAGTCAAAAATATGAGTCATTTCGGCTTAAAACT